AGGCCAGAGGAACTTTGGGAGAGGCTAGCAGAGAGTTTATTCACAAAGCAGCAAGTCCAGGAGCTAAGTCTTTGATAGTCAACAGGAAGATTTGCAGAGCAGGTTCAAAGGGCCAGGTTAATTGATTTCAATAGCCTTTGACTTGGTCCTTTTTGCTATACTGTCCACACGGTCCTACCTCCCATCACTTGCCTGATGAGTAACATCTCTCAATGGAGGCAGAAAGAAAGCTGACTTCTAGGGTGTCACTGTTTACAAGAGCTTGTAAACCATCCTCTTGATAATAGAACTTTGCTAAGAATTGATATCAAGCTCATTGATCTATAGTCTCTGGAATTGACCTTCATTTTCTTTTTGAAAACTGGGACTTCTATTCACCTCTAGGGCTGTTAACACCTCTTATGTTCTCCAAGATAGCGTCTCAGAATCACACTCACAAATGTTTCCAGAACTTTGGAATGAGGGTAGTGTGGTGTGGTGGAAAAAATATTGGATCTGGAATCCCAGGACCTATATTTGAACCCCAGCTTTGCCATTTTCTACCTATGTAAGCTTGGACAAATTACTTATTTTTTCTGGACTTCAGTTTCCTCATCTGTAAAATTAGAAGGTTATGACCTCAAGTTCCTTCCTGTCCTTAATCTGTTATTGTTCATCCTTTCTTTTTTTTTTGGTGAGGCAATTGGATTAAGTGACTTGGCCAAGGTCATATAGTCAAGTGTCTGAGGCCAAATTTGAACTCAGGTCCTCCTGATTCCAAGGCCAGAGCTCTATCCACTGTGCCACCTACCTGCCCCTTGTCCTTTGCTCTTGAAAAGGACCAACAACATCAGGAGGGTGATGTCTTGACTTGCAAGTGAACTGGATTTAAATGAGGCAAGGCTGTGCAAAGTCACCAGTCTCATTCTCTCCTTCAGGGTCATCAGAGTACAGTGGCAAGACATAGGTGAGGCAGACTGGCTCTTAATTTATGATCTTATTATAATACATACCTCACTTCTCAAGCACTGGGTTTATATGGATTAGATTCAACCCTGGAGTACTTCACAAATCACTCTATTTGGCTTGTGCCCCACACCTAGGGTCTCCTTTACAAACATCAGAACTTGACTTGTTTTGTTCTCACCCAGGAAACATCAGAATATGTGTAGGTTTCTTTGTGTGTAGGTTTCTAAAGAAAAGGTTAAAGAGTCCCTAACTTCCATATAAATGCAGCATCTTATAATAATTCATATAAAGAATGAGCTTTATTTAACTGGATATATATATATCTATAATTATATATATATATACATATCTTCTATCTAAAACACAAAGTACTTACAGATAAATCCATGAATAATCAAAACAACTTGACTTCCTTTTCTAATTGGCACTCTTCTTTCCGAAGCATCCATATATTCCCATAGACTTATAGTAGCATCCTAAAGTTGAGGGGAAAGCACTGAGGGTGGAGGGAGGGGCAGAACACTGACCCCTTATCACCTTGATCTGCACAATATACTTATAACTCACAATACTAGTAAAGGGTGTGTTTGCTCCTCTGTATCATGGATCTGTCTCTCCCTGCTCTTTCCTCTTTGTTCTAGAGCTCCTCTATTTGGCCCAGAAATTTGATATCTTCCTGGAATTTCTTCTCTTTTACATATAAGCCTTGGTTCAAGAATTCTTCATTATTGTGAACTGATCCAAACATTCTGAAGAACAACTTAGAGCTATGCCCAAAGGGCTATAAAACTGTTCATACCCTTTGACCCAGCAATACCACTACTAAGTCTACATCCCAAAGAGATCAAAGAAAAGGGAAGAGAACTTATATACAAAAATATTTTGGCAGCTCTTTTTTTAGTGGCAAAGAATTGGAAATGAGGGGATGTTCATCAACTGGGGAATGTCTGAACAAGTTGTGGTATATGATTGTGGTGTAATACTATTGTGCTGTAAGAAATGACAAAGAGAATGGCTTCAGAAAAACCTGGGAAGATTTATATGAGCTGATGCAAAGTGAAGTGAGATGAATTAGGAGAACATTGTACAGAGTAACAGCAATATTGTAGTGATAATCGACTGTGAGAGACTTATCTACTCTGTTCAATACAATGATCCATGATAGTTTCAGAGGACTAAAAATGAAAAATGCTCTCCACCTCCAGAGAGAGAACTGATGAACTCTGAGTACAGACTGAAGCATATTTTTTCACTTTTTCTTGCTTTTTTTTCAACACTGCTAATGTGAAAATGTGTTTTTCAAGACTTTGTGAGTATCACGGGAATCAAACTTCTTGCCTTCTTGATGGCTAGGGAAGGGGGCAGAGGGAAGGAGAGAATTGGGAACTGAAAATAAAAATTATGAAAAACAAAGGATTTTGCATTGTCTAGGACCTGCTCCTCTAGAAAGCATTGTCAGAAACTCCTTTTTGTCCACAAAGCTTTGATTTGGTAATTTCTCTTTCCCTCTTCTTTAGTCTCCATGACTACCTCTGTCAGTTGCCATCTTTGAGGCTACATGTTACATGTTCTCTTCTCTCCTTCCCTCCCATCCCTGCTCTCCTGGACTCACATCTTTTCTCCTTTCTTCAGGTCATTTGATTCCCCAGAGAGGCCTTACAGAAGAATAGACTTTCTTATTAGGTAATTGAGTCCAAATCTTTTATGTGTAGCCTCCATACTCTCTGCATTTGTCAGCTGTGGTTCTTTTTGTCTCTGATGCATGATCAGTTTGCTAATTGTTTTTTCTTTTCTTTTTTTTAAAATGTCTTTATTATATGGAATGGCTCTCTGGGAGAGGTGAGGTGGAAAACACGACAGAAAATTTAGGTAATATAAAAACAAAAGATAGCAATAACTCAAAAAAAACTTGCTCCTCCTCACCAAATTCCTGAAGCATTTTTGTTGTATTGGCATCTTTTTAATTCGATAGGTTTGAAATGAGTCATCTTTGATTCTTCCGTCTTCTTCATCTTCCCCCTCCCCCCCAATTAGGCATCAAGTCCCTTTCTATCTTTTACATCTCTCTCACGTCCTGCCAAGGGCTTGATCTAGGCCCTTATCACCTCTCTCTTGGACTATATTGTAATAGCTTCTTAATTTTGATGTATATATGAGAAAGACTTCATTTGTGAACTCTTAAAATTGCATTTCCCTCTTCCAAGTCAAATGTTATCTTGCAGTCTCACAAATTGTTAGAGCTGGAAAGAACTTTGGAGATCAAGGATCACAGATCTGGAGTCAGAAGGAACCTCAGATACCATCTAATCTAATCTCCTCATTTTATAATGAGGAAGCTCAGGCCTAGATAGAGTATCTTGCATTAGTAAAAAGAGGCAGGAAATCACTATGTCAATGAAATCACAGGTTCAGACCCTATCTACCTACCTACCTATCTAACTATCTATCTAACTATCTACCTATATCCTATCTACTCCCCCATCTCCATGTCTCCATGTCTCTATCTACACACACACACACACACACACACACACACACACACACACATCTATCCCTATAGAAATGTCAGCTGGTGTCACCTCCTCACTTAAAAACCTTCAATAGCTCCTTTTGTTGTCGAGTAGTTTCAATCATGTCTAAGTCTTCATGACCCCATTTTTGCATTTTCTTGGCAAAGATACTAGAGTGGTTTGCCATGTGCTTCTCCACCTCATTTTACAGACAAGGAAACTGAGGCAAACAGGGATAAGTCCTTGCCTAGGGTCAAGAAGCTAGTAAATGTCTGAGGCTGGATTTGAACCCAGGAACATGAGCCTTCCTGATTCTAAGCCCCAGTGCTCCATATACCACCTAGCTGCCTTTCAATAGCTTCTTACTGTCTACCAGACAAAATTCAAATTCCTTAGATAGACATTAAAAGCTCTTTAGAATAATAAACATTTATATAATTCTCTAATGTTCATAATGTACTTTATACACATCTAATTTGAGCCTCACAAGAATACTATGGGATAGGTACTAGGCAGCTTGCCTATTGTGCAGCTAGAAAGTATAAAAGGCAGGTTTGGACCCCTGCTTTTCCTGACTCCATCCTTTCCAACTCTGCACCATGTGATCTTTCACAATGAGTCTCTATTAACTTTTCTAGTCTTATTTCCTGCTTGTCTCTTTCACATATACTGTGGCTAAATTGAATTACTGTGTTGCCTAATTGAATTACTATGTTGCCTAATTTCTTGGAATGTCCTCCCCAATCCCTTGCCTTCCTTCTGCCATTACTTCTTATACTAGTACATGACATACTACAGATTGCAAAATTTTCTAAGGATTAGGGTATGAATAGGGATTAGATCTGTGATTTATGTAGTATGAGGAGCTCCTGGGTGAGAAAAGTCGCTCTACCAATGCAGGTTGGCATCTTCTCTGCTAGATTCTCATAAAGAGTTGCCTAGTTCATTGAGGGTTTAAGTGAGTTATCCAACACCACTATGTCTGGTGTAGGATCCGGGCCAGGTCTCCATCCATGCTGCCTCTCTTTTGATGACGATACAATAAAATATACAAGCCTAAATATATACAAAATACAGGACATAATTAAATATTTAAGAATTCATAAGGCACATGAGAGTCTTGTAGTAAGTAGATTAGGTTATCATTATGAACATTAATTATCACTGCACCACGGTAATACAAGTTTCTACCATGGTGGATACAAGTTTCCATATGTTATTTACTTATGCTTCCTGACTTCCATCTGGTGAGCTTCAAAGAGTGCTTCATCTTGGGATAAGAATCTATGCAAACATACGTTTGAACAGGGGTGGAAGGGTTGACAAAATTGAATTTTTGACAATATTATTTTTTCTCCTTGGTGGCAACCGTTTAGCATCAGATCTGTTTTAAACAAACTGACGCCCAAACGGAACCATATTTCTGTGCCCAGACTAGAAGAATATTATCTTTCTTTAAGATAAGTCCTGTGGTTGCTGCCTCGAAGCATCTGTACAACAGTCAGTAAAAAAAAAAAAAAAAAAAAAAGGGCTTTCTCTTACCTCAAGCTCATTAGCAGCCTTATTTACTTTGTTGATGTTGCTGGCTTCCTGTTTCTTCTTCAGGGCTAGCTGCTTCAAACACTTTTGGATGTCTTTCTGTGTAAGATGTTTGAGAAAAACCACATTAGCACTCCTGAAACTTCAGAACTCTTCTGCCCTCTTACCAAAGCTTGCGCTGCTTGAGTGACAGAGTCTATGATTATCTCTGTCATTCCATCATAGGATCCGAGGTAAAAGAAATTTCAGAGACCACTGAGCCTAACCCTCTCATTGTACAGATGAGCAGACTGAAGCCTAGAGAGGTTGAATAACTTTCCTGGGGTCACACAGCTAGTAAATGTCTGAGAAAGACTTTGAATTTAAAGTCTTCCTGATTCCAAGTCAGCGCTCTGCCCGACTGCCTAAAATTTTAGTGAAGACTCTGGTCGTGTTCTTTCCAGATGACTTTGGCCTTTTCTATGGTTATCCTTCCCCATATCTTCATCCTTCCTATTCTTTAGTCTCCTTCTCTCAGCCCACTGTTCTCTTAATTTGAGAAATGCTGCCAAAATATCTTAGCCCAGGGGTGGGGAACCTGCAGCCTAGAGGCCACATGTGGCCCTCTAGGTTCTCAAGTGCAGCCCTTTGGCTGAATCCAAACTTAATAGAACAAAGGGGATTCAGTCAAAGGGCTGCACTTGAGACTCTAGAGGGCCACATGTGGCCTCAAGACCACAGGCTCCTCACCCCTGTCTTAGCCCATTGTTTTTACCACATCCTGTTTCTCTCCTCTAGCTTCTTTCTTCTCTCCCCGCCAGCTTTCAGACCAATCTTCACTGCCTGATTGCTTTTCTTTCCTTCTTCTCTGCCAAATCAAAATGAAGTGGACACTTTTATACAGTTCTCTTTTGCACAATATTCTATATTTTCTTACACATTTCACCCTCTACTTTCTTATTGCTAGGACTCTCATTCCAGCTATCATATACAATCTCCTTCTTCAATGTCCTAAATTTTCATCTTCTCTATGAAGCATTTGTTCTTATCTAAAGGGGAGCAATATGATGGATAATCCCCAATCACCTTCATAATTGCTATAATTCACAGACCCACTTAGGACTTAGGAGAAATCCTGTAGCCCAGAAAGATAATAGTAGCCACTGTAAAATACTAGCTGCCACACATAGAGAACAGTAGTTAGTGTCAGTTGCTGGTACATAGACCAGTGGTCACTACCCATCCATGTACAATACAGGGAAAAATAACTGCCACCACTCCATAGCTAATCTCCTACTCCTATCCCCCAGAAATTTTGTTGCTATTCCTCAGATGAGTTGAGATACCTGGGATCATCATTATTATAAACTGCTAGATCAAAAGGAGCAATGTGTAAGCAAAGAATTTTGGAGAGGTACAGAAGGAAGGTTTCGCCTTCTATATAGCAGTGAAAGGTGAAATTTTGAACTGTACATTTGTTAGTTCAACAAATATTTAAGGTCTATGATATGCACTGTACTGTAATACTTACTAACATTTACATGGTGCTTTGCACATATGATCATCACAACCCTGTGAGGTATTGGAGGACATATAGGCATTGTTATCTCCAATTTATAAATATGTATATTGAGCTCAGAAAGATTATGTGACTAGTTCATTGACACAAAGCTTGAAAACATAAGAGATAGGATTTGAATATGTCTCTCCTGATTTTAAATTTAGTATCCTTTCTACTATTTAATGCTGCTTTGAGTTCTGCCAAAATGAAAGTTTTATAATTTAAAAAAAATCTGTTAAGTGCCTACTGTATATTAAAATACTGTGCTAGACAATTAGCTCCACAGGAATAAAGTTTACATATACATGACAACCAATATTGCAACTGTTACATGTGGGTACTTTATGTGTGACTACAGAAGTATAGGCAGTAAGGTTCAGTAGACAGTGGTGGATTTCAGAGGACCTGGGTTTACATCTCACCCTGACCGTTTACAACCTTTGTGATCTTGGGCAAACCAATTAATTTTTTTGAGCCTCAGTTTTCTTCATCTGTAAATTGAGGGATTTGGACAAGATGATCTCTAAGGTTCCATCCAGCCCTAAGCCATGGTCTTAAGTTCAGAAATTGCGTAGTGATTTAAAACTTAGAATCTTCAAACTTAAAAAAAAATTTTTTCTTTGAAACTGTATGAAGGCAATGCTCCTTTTGTTCTCAGGGATGAAATGTGGAGCAACCTTTTGTGTAAACAATTCCTAACAATGAAAGGTGTTCCAGAGTAAAAAGGGCTGCCTTTGGTGGTGGTGAATTTCCCATCATTGGAGGTTTTCAAAGAGGAGGCAGGCTGATCATTTTTTAGGGGATATTTTAGAAGATCTCTTCCACCTCAGTGATTTTGTTGTTCTAAAATCACATCAACCAATCAATAAGAAAAGCATTTATGAAGCACATATTATATTCTGAGTATTGTTCTAGGAACTGGGAATACAAAGACAAAAATGAAACAGCTCCTGCCTTCAGAGAGCTTATATTCTATCGAGGGGAAAGAACATATGTATACATATGTATGTATGTATGTATACATATAAGCAAATACAAAATATATACAAAGTAATTACCAGGTAGGGTGGTAGGTAGTGCAGTGGATAGAGTTCGGCCTGGAGTCAGGAAGGCTCATCTTCCTGAGTTCAAATCCGGCCTCAGACACTTACTAGCTGTGTGCCTCTGGGCAAGTCACTTGACCCTGTTTGCCCTCAGTTTCCTCATCTGTAAAATGAGCTGGAGAAGGAAATGGCAAACCACTCCAGTACCTGGACCCCCAAATGGGGTCACAAAGAGTCAGACACTACTGAATATGATTCTACAACAACAAAAATTACCAGGTAGTTTTGGCAGGAACTGGGGAGACACTTGCTGGATAGGTTCAATATTGCAAATTAAGCTGTAATACTGCAATGAATCTAAAAGATCTTACTGATGTTGGCATTCCTTCCACTGGTGCAGATTGCAGCCCATCCAGACTTTCCCGTGAAGTGATTCTTGTTCAAGTTCTCCCCTTGTTCCTCTCTGTGCTTGAGGACTTCCTTCAGGTTATTTTAGATTTCACAAATATCATAAGATCAGAGATTTCAAGCTAGAAGGCACATTAGAGGTCATCTAGTCTCATTCCCTCATTTTACAAACCAGGAAAGTGAGGCGTAGAAGGGTTAAGTAAGTTGTCTGACGTCACACAGGAAGCATGTGGTAGAGTCAGGGTTTGAATCCATGTTCTCTTACTCCAAACACAGGACTCTTTGTGCCAGACCACCACATTCTTGCTGTACAGCTGTTTCCCCCTCACTTTCACTATGTACCGCTCCTCCCTCTCCTTTGCCTTTCATTTCCTCGATAATACCACTTCATCTACTTCTTGCATGTAAGTCATTGTTAGAAATATGCTGTAGCCAACTAGTGTTCACCTTAAACCTCTCCCTCAACCTTCCTGCCACTCTCAACCCCGTATTTTCAGAGTGTACACTGGGAACTGTGGAGATCACAAGGAATTATAAGGCATAATATTTACTCCCTACCCCCAAGCAACTCACAGTCTAGTTAGGAATGCAAAATTACTATACATGAAACAGTAGAATAAAAGCCCACTGAAGGCAGATTGTTTCATTTTTATTTTTACATATCCTGTGTCTGGGGCAGCTAGGTGGCATAGTGGATAGAGTGCAGGGCCTGGAATCAGGAAGACTAATCTTCCTGAGTTCAAATTTGGCCTCAGACACTTACTTAGCTGTGTGATCCTGGGCAAGTCACTTAACCTGTTTGTCTCAGTTTCCTCATCTGTAAAATGAGCTGGAGAAGGAAATGGCAAACCACTCCAGTATCTTTGCCCAGAAAACTCCAAATGAAGTCATGAAGAGTTGTACATGACTGAAAAAATGACTGAACAACCGAACTCTGTACCTAGCACTACATGGACTTAATAAGTATTTGTTGAATTGAACTGACTTATAAAGTAATGGAAGAACTATATCCCAGGTTACTGAATTGCTGAGTGTCTGTGATCTCTGAAAGACTATGGAGAAGAGGAGAGATAGGATAGAATTGGAAAAGGGACAACTCTGTCTTGATATTCTCCCCCTCCTTCTCCCCCAAAGGAAGAGTCTGCAAACTGTAAGCCAGTGATTTTGATTTCGATTCCTGACAATCAATCAATCATTCAGCATTTATTAAGAACTTCTTAGGTGCAAGCATAATGTATTTTTAATAATGTATTATTAAAGCACTTCTAGGGTTATATCCCAAAGAGATCACACAAAAGGGAAAAGGACCTACATGGACAAAAATATTCATAGCAGCTCTTTTTGTGGTGGCAAAGAGTTGGAAATTGAGAGGATGCCCATCAATTGGGGAATGGCTGAGCAAGTTGTGGCGTATGAATGTAATGGAATACTATTGCGCTATAAGAAACGATGAACAGGCTGACTTCAGAAAAATCTGGAAAGACTTGTATGGTCTGAGTGAAGTGAGCAGAACTAAGAGAACGTTGTACACAATAACAGCCACGTTGTGTGATGACTAATATTGATAAACTTAACCCTTCCTGGCAATACAAGGGTCTAAGACATCTCCAGAGGCCTTGTGATGGAAAATGCTATCCATATCCAAAGAAGGAACTATGGAAGTCGAATTGCTATTTTTTTTTCTCTTCTGTTGAGTTTTGTTTCCTCTTTCTGATGGTTCCTCATATTGGTTTTAATTTTTACTTACAACATCACTAATGTGAAAATATGTTTAATATGAATGTAAATGCATAGCCTATGTCAGATTGTGCACCATCTTGGGGAAGGTGGTGGGGAGGAAAGGGGAGAAAAAATTTTAAACTCAAAAGCATATGGAAGTGATTATTGATAAATCAAAAAAATTAATAAAAAAAAGAAAAAAAAGAAAAAAAAAGAAGCAAGACTTAAACCCCACCCCCCAAAAATAATGTATTATTAAAGGAGTGGTTAGTGACTATCTAGAAAAAAAAGCAGCCATCACAAAGATTGCTATTGTGATGCAATAGTAGAAAGGGGATGGATTTGAAGTCAGTGGATTTGGAGTGACTTTGGGCAAATCATTCCCCCTCCCTTAACCTTGGTTTCCTCATCTGTAAAATGAAGATGCTGGACTAGATGACCTCTAATGGGCATTCCAGCTCTAAATTGATGATCTTATGTATATAAACCAAGGGCTATGTGACACAGTGGAGATTCCAAAATAGGATGGAAATCATTGGGGGAGGGGAGGGCTGAGTCATTGCCCAGGGCTTCATAGAGCCTTTAAGATTTGGGCAGAGCTTTGGAGGATGCTCCAAACATCCTCCAAAACAACATTTTACTGAGTTAGGCTGGGTGTAGGAAATTATCTTTGTAGCAAGCAAGAGGCTGGGGACAGGAGTGGGGGAAGGGGGTAAATATTACTACTCCCTCCTTGCTCCTCCAAAAAAAGATAGCATGTCCCAAAAATCTCTTCGCTGCCCTAGAGTTTAAATACCATTTAGACAAGTTGATGGTGTACTCTGGCACAGGCAGGTTTAGTTGGTGTGTGTCCTGGCAACCTTACAAAGATTGGGAAATAATAAGAGTTGCTTCCTGTACCCAACTGTCTCTACACCTGCCTCCATGTCTTTCTTTGTACATGGTGCCCTTTATTTCTTGGAATGCTTTCCCTTCCCATCCCTGCCTTTTGGAATCCAAATTTCTTTCCCTTCAACTCCCAGCTCATTTGGGGTAGGGTTCACTCTGATCTCTCCAGTTGTAGTACTCTCCTCCTCAAATTTCTTTGGATTTAATTTATTATGTACATTTTGTATTTACTTATCCCTCACTTTCTCTCTCCCTTTTGCCCTCACTGTGAAATGTATGTCCTTTAGGGACAAGTACTGTTTTCTTCATTTGTTTTTTTTTTTTTTTTTGTCTTCATGTCTTCCTAGCACTGTGTCTGATGCACTAGGGCCTGTTGAAATGAATTAAGCTCACACTTATGCAGCGTTTTTGAAGGTTTACAAAGCACTTCCCTCTCAATGAGGCAGGTAGTGTAAGTATGATTATCCCCATTTCACAGATGAGGGGAAACTGAGAATCACAAGGGTTAAGTGGCTTGAGCAAGGTCACACAGTTAGTAAGTATCAGAGTCTGCATTCAAATCCTAGTTTCCTGACTTCAAAACCAGCATTGATTTCACTGCCCCACACTGATTTAACAAAGCCAGAAGGAATTTTCCCATCATACAGAATGACTAGTTTCCCACCACCTTCGATTTCTCACCCAACAGAAATATTCTTGGCAGGAGGACCATTTGGAGCTATCCAAAAAGGGCAGGGGAGAGTGGGGTAAAGGGAAGGAGTTTCTTCCATTCCCAGACTTGCAGTAGGAAAAAAGGGGAAGACGCAGTTGGTGACCTGTGACCTCGCCGCTCTGGGGAACTTGTCTGCCCCCTTCTTCCCCTACGGGGCCCCATCCAGCTCCGCTTACCTGCTTGAAGCTCACTTCCTCGTGGACAAAGCGCACGGGATGGCCTCGGTGCGAACCCACCAGTGGACACAGGGCGCACACACAGCGTCTGCAGCGGCTGCAGAACAGCTCGACCGTCCGGTTGCGGTGCTCTGAACATAACCAAATGGGCGCCAGCTCGGGCCCCGCGCGCCCCTGGTCCTCCTCTTCAGCGGCGGCTGCTGCTGCTCGGTCCTCTGCATCTTCTGGGCGCCCGCAACAGCCCCCGGGCTTTCGCTGCTCCTCATGCTGTGCGGTATTTCTCACTTCCCGGGCCTCGAAGATTTCCCAGGGTACCGGGTCCGCCGCAGCTGCTGCCGAAGGAGCAGCCATAGCCATCTGCCCCGGGGAGGAGCAAAACGAGGAAACGAAACTTTTGCAACCGCAAAACCTCGTTATATCAGAGCAAAGGGCGGAGGAGAGAGGCAGGAGCCAGACTTGCAGATCTTTGAAGGCTGCTTAACCTTTTTTTTTCTCTTCATTTTTTTTTTTAAGGCAATTGGGGTTAAGTGACTTGCCCAAGGTCACGCAGCTAGTAAGTGTCAAGTGTTTGGTCTGAGATCGGATTTGAACTCAGGTCCTCCAGACTTCACGGCCGGTGTTCTATCCATTGTGCCATCTAGCTGCCACGCTGCTTAAGCTTTAAACTTTTCTTTCCTTCTTATCTTTCCTTCCTTCCTTCCTTCTTTTCTCTTTTTCTTTCTTCCTTCTTTCCTTCCTTCTCTTTTTTCTTAAAGTAGAACTAATAGTTCTATTTTTTGAATTTTAATATTTTATTTTCCCAATTACATGTAAAAACTACTGTTTAACCTTCCTCTTTTAAAAATTTGAGTTCCAAATTCTCTCCTACCCTCCCTCCTCCATCGTTGAGAAGGCAAGCAGTTTGATAAAGGTTATACATGTGCAGTCATGCAAAACATATTTCCATATTAGTCATGTTGTGAAAGAAAACACAGACAAAAAAACCCACAAGAAAAATAAAGTAAAAACACACACACACACACACATACACACCAGTATGTTTCTATCTGCATTCAGACTCCATCAGTTCTTTCTCTGGAGGTGGGTAGTATTTTTCATCATAGGTCCTTCAGAATTGTCTTGGATCTTTGTATTGCTGAGAATAGCTGTCATTCACAGTTGATTATTCTACTACAACGTTCTCCTAGTTCTGCTCACTTCACTTTGTATCAGTTCACGTAAGTCTTTCCAGGTTTTTCTGAGAGCATTCTGCTCATAATTTCTTATAGCACAATAGCATTCCGTCGCAATCATATATCACAACTTGTTCAGCTATTCCCCAGTCAATAGGCATACCCTCAATTTCCAATTCTTGGCCACCACAAGAAGTAAGCTATGTTTTCTATTTGTAGGTATATGAAGACTCATTATTATAGCTCAGATAAATAGATGGGAGGAAGCCACACCTCAAATCTATATGGCTTGGAGTCTCACTATCCAAGTCCAATTCAGTTGAATAAATATTCATTTAGCATCTACTCTGGATAAGGAAGATGCTGCTGTCCTAGGTGCTGTAAGCTCTGAAAACAAATGACCAAAAATTCACAGAAGTTATGCAACCACTGCCAACTCACACACACACACACATACATACATATACACCTGTACCAGAGAGCTCACACAGATTATCACAACCCCAGTTAACTCTGAAAATATCAAAGAGCCCACTTAGATTATCATAACCACAGTAACTCTAAGAAGCAAAATAAAATAAAAACAAAACCAAAGAGCTAACAGTAGTCTTAAGCAAAAAGCTTTCTTTATTCCATTGGAGGAAGGAAACTAGACACATGTGCTGGAATCTCCTCTAGTAGGAGACCCACTTTAGAGCAAATCTCAGTACATATAGTGTTTCCTAAGTGAGGTGTAGCCCTGACAATGAAAGATGACAACAACAATGAGACAAGTTTGATTCATAGCAGGGTTTCATGACCAGAACATGGGTCTTGCAGGTGCTTGTCTGAACTCAGGGATCACCTGGTGCTGGTGTGAAACAATTCTGGGATTTTGCTGTGACTCAGTTCATATACAGGGTGAGTGCCAAAGGTTGTTGTTACACCAACCTAAGGGTACAGCTTTCTTGCTGGGCCTTAGCTCTGGAAAATGGGGTGTCTCCTAATAGTAAAAAGAGAGGAGTAAAAAGAGAGGGGTGATCTTAGCATGGGGATTCTGACAGTGCTGAGGAGAGGAAGATGGAAAAAGACACTTTTCCTTGTTTAGAAGGAGCTTTCATTCTATTGTCCCCCACCCCCACTCCAGTCCTACAGAGCTAAGCAGGGTAAGGAAGGAGAGAGCCCTTCTCCCATTGGAGCAGGAACCAGGGCCACAGAGCTGATTGGCACCTGTCTTAAGTCTTGGAAGACAAAAATTCAGAGAGAGGGAGCTGAGGAGGGACTTCATATTTGGACCTTGTGGTTGGCTGAGGTGAAAAGGAAGGTTAAGATGATTGAAGATGTTGATGAACTGTGAGGCCTGGATGTTTGAAAGAATATCAGCATTTTTATTGAAGTCCCCCAGTATGAAGGCAGCAGTAGAAGACAGTCAGCCAAGTACTGAATTCCTTGAGAAATGAGGGAGAATGACTGAGATGCCCATAAATGATGGCAATAAGGATTTAGATGGGGTGATATAGACAGAGTGAATCTCAAACGATGAGATATTTGAAGAATGATGGGGATGGAGAGAAGGATAAGAAATGGCAGTTAGGTGAGAGAAGTATGTTGACTCCTCCTGGCCACATGTCTTCAGGTGAATGGGAGAAGGAACACAGCCCTAGAGAGAGGAAGTTCTTTCTAGGTTATTTTTGTTGTTGTTCAGTTGTGATTGACTCTTCATAACCCAATTTGAGGTTCTTCTGGAAAAGATACTGGAGGGCTTACCATTTCCTTTTCCAGTTCATTTTATAGATGAGGAAACTGAGGCAAACAGGGTTAAGTGACTTGCTCTGGGTCATAAAGCTATTAAGTGTCTGAGGTCACATTTGAACTCAGGTCTTCCTGATTCTGGGTCTGGTGCTCTATCCACTGCACCATCTAGCTGCCCTACAGGTTATTTTTTAGAATAATCATAATGATAACCATAATGGAATACTTAAAAAGAGCCATATTTTTTGAAAATCGGCATTTAAAAAATCCCTTCACTAATGAAGATCATAGCCTTTCTTCACGTTAGTAGTTTCATGAGTTGCTGTCTCCCTCCATCCCCCACTCACATTCATCATTTAGTAGCTAGCTTTCCATTGATGAGCCTCCACACATTTAGCTTGACAGGTCCTTGCTCAAAAGACACAGTCCATTTCTGGGGTCATACTCGAAGCTTTTGTAGCTTGGTAAGACTGCCAAAAGCTTGCACCCTACTAGCACAGACTTTGAGAACAGGGTCAATTTCATTTCATACTGAGATACTAAAGTAGGATGTTAGTAGGGATATGTGTGTGTGTGTGTGTGTGTGTGTGTGTGTGTGTGTACTGCATCTGTGATTACATTGACATAAGGAACTCTTGGTTGGGAAAATCCCTCCATTAATACAGATCAACAATTCATTTGTAACTTATAGTATTACAGTTGCCTGGGGGACCTGAAAGATTAAATGATTTACTCATTGTCACACAGCTAGTATGCATCAAAGTTGGTACTTGAATTCCGGTCTTCCTGATTCCAAAGGCAGTCCCTATTCCCTAGGCCCTGCCTCCAAAAAACTGAGGAGTTAAATGATTTTCCTAGAGTCATTGAGCCAGTGTGAGTCAGATACAGGACTTGAATTCAGCCAGGTTTTCTTAACACTAAGGCCAGCTCTCTATCCCCTATGCCAGGCTGCTTAGCGGATAACATATGGCATAGTTACATCATGATCTTGGTCATTCACCTTTAGATATACTTTAGTTTGTCAATATCTTCTTTTAAACATGTGGTACCCAGAGCTGAACAAATGTGATTTTCCCTGGGCAGTTTTGCCTGAGAGACCTGACATGATAGGGACATGCTTTTGGGGAAAGGATGGGGGGGGTAGTATGCTTCCTTTCTACTTCAACTGTTTCCCTCTTTCCCTTTCACTCTGTAGTCCACTGGATCTGCTGTGCCTTCCTCCTAGGCTTTGCTTTTTCTTTAAAGCCAAACGTAGTGATATGTATGAGGTTAATGAATGAATGAATGAATAAAACATTTACCAAGTGCTTGTTATGTGCAAAGCACATGCTAAGAACTGGAGATACATATGGAAGATTTCATCTGTAAGTCAGATGGAAAAGTCTCATGGTCCTTAGGAGGTGGGGCAGCTAGATTGCACAGTGGATAGTGCACCAGGCCTGGAGTCAGAAAGACCTGAGTTCAAATCTGACCTCAGACACTTCCTAGCTGTGTGATCCTGGGCAAGTCACTTAACCTCGTTTGCCTCAGTTTCATCCTTGGTAAATAGGCCGGAGAAGGGAATAGCAAACCACTCCACAATATTTGCCAAGAAAATGCCAAAAGGGATCATGAAGAGTTGGACACAAGTGAAATGACTCAACAATAACCTTAGGATGCAACAGCAAAGCAGATATTAATACCTCTTCTTTAATGTCATTTTCATTTATAAAACAATATCAGTTTCTGAGGTGCAACTATTTGACAATGCCAAGGACTTTGAGGCAAGCACTTGCTTTCTTTTTGATGAGGCAATTGGGTTAAGTGACTTGCCTGGGGTCACACAGCTAGCAAGTGTCAAGTGTCTGAGGTCAGATTTGAGCTCAGGTCCTCCTGACTCCAAGGCTAGAGCTCCACCCACTGCACCACTTAGCTGCCCAGAGGAACTTTCTTTTTGGGTCTTTAGTAGCTGTGGTTGTAACACCTACAGGAATAGCTGCAGAGGTGGCCATCCACAGAGGTAACCTTTCTCCTAGTGTGACTGTCTTCTGACTGCTATTCCCCTAGTCCTCTGGGCCACAGCCACTGCCAGGATACCCTCCTCACAACTGCATTTGCTCCAGCCTCAATAACTCCAAGCTATGGTTCTGCCAGTGAAGGAGATTTTGGGTAAGAAACCTATTAAGACAATGCTTTCTGTGAAGCATGAAAACTTACTAGAGATTCTGGGGGAAAACCACTTTTGAGCCACATTCCTCTCCTTGAGTGTGAATCACAGGGAAAATTGCCCGTCTACTTCACAAAAGCCTTCTCCAAGAAAATCTTCTACCAAATCGTTTCCCTGGAACATTTCTTTTGCAAATGTAACTAGGTTTCCAACTAAGCCTGAAGTGTTTTTGCAGGTTGTTTGTGAGAGGGACAAAGGAGGCTGACTACCTCACTGCATACTGTGTAAGGGATTTACTGAGTTGGAGCCAGATATTCTTCTGGGAGAGACACATGTGGTTCCAGAAGCTCTTTGGGAGAGATAAAAGGAGAGAGAAGCTACAGATATGTAGTGGGAGTTGGCTCCTCAAAATATCGGTGCTTTCAAACTTACTTCCCTGGAGACTGCTAGAATAGACCTCCTTGGAGAGAAGAGTCTTGTCTCTAGGATGAGCTGAGACATTTTTCTCACTCTCAGATGAGAAGCTCATTCATTCACTTTTGTGTTGTTGCTGTTGTTTTTTCTGATCTACTATTCTAATCTTCAGAGAATCTTCAATTTCTGGTTGCTGTTTTGCTTGAATAAGTGGTTTTGCTCTCTATTTGTTCTTTGTGTAACCAGTGTTTGGAGGGAAGAAGCTAAGTTGGCAAGCGTGAGCTAAGGATTATCCTCTCCCTTAAGAGTGACCAGGAAAGTGGCTTTCCTTCTGAGCCATGAAACATTGTATTTCTTAGACCGGAGATATTTGAGGGGGGGCAGCAGATAGATATAATTCTAGCCTGATATCCCTCTCAGAGGCTGGGAAAAGGAGCACCCAGCCTTGTGGTGCTACTGGGTTCTCTTCCATAGGCAAGGAGGATCCTTGACTCTCCTCCCACCAGAGGTGGGTCAACTACCAGATGTATCTGTCCATGTCACCCACAAGTAGCATTTATACATTCAAACAACTCATGTGGGGCATAAATACCTTACACAGATAATGACAAGCCTACAGTCTGAGTCCTGAAATCTTCATTTCCATGAGGCTCAAGATTGACATTCTGTTTGGCAGGCAGCACCAAACTGGCAGACTTTTCCCAAACGGCAACTCACTTGAAGGCAAAGTAGGGCAAAAGAGATGCTACTTTCCGTTACCAGTGTGAATTGTTTTTCAGGTTTAAACATCTGTTTCTATTAAAAAGAAATGGAACATAGCAGCTTACATATAATACACAAGGGCAGCTTCCACCAGCAGGCTAAAGGTTTTGTTGGGTGATCCACATGCATTTACATGGGTATACCAGTAGGTGTAGTAGTACCTAGTAGGAAGAGGCCACACCATCTCTGTAAATGAAAGATTGGCCAACTCGCAGCAGATCCCACTCCTTTAATCTTCTTGGTTTTTTGCTTTAAGCAAATTGAATATATACTATTTATTTAAAAAATACTACGTATTAAAAAGTAAAAGTCTAGGCAGTTATTTATTATTTTGTTACATTTGTTTTTCATTGCACAATTCCACAACATCTATTTTTTTCTTTTACAAAGATATAAGGAATTTAAGAAATGATGATAAAATGATCATTCAAATAGTTTGGGGCACAGTTTAATAAAGCATAAACCAATTTTTGTCATTTGATCTCCTGTATCACATGTTTTTGAACAAATTCAAAGTAGGATTGTGGGCAAGGGGAGTGGAGGAAATATGTTTAGAACTCAATATTTATACAGAGGTATTCTTCCAAAGATTATACTCAGGTGCTGATTCAATAGTTGTTGTTCATGGAATAGTAAATCATTAAACAAACTATTATTGTTTCAAGTACATAGATCAGTGAGCACTCTACTAATTGGTTGGGCACTGTGGATATGACTAATTTTAGTCTTATCAGGTCACATACATAAACAAAAATACAATTAAAAAAAGACTGGTTAAAAAAATATTGAGTAAAAATTACCTGTCCCTTTCCCTAGCTGTCAAATAATTTAAATAATTTATTCTAGACATAAAAAAAAGAAAATGAAAAAAAAACTTTCTGTCTACCTCAGAGAAGCCACATACTATTTTTAAACATGAAATTTTGGTCACTGATATATGAGTTTTACTTGAGAAGATAGTAGTTGACATGTTTAAAACATAGTACATCACGGATTTCTGCTCCCCCAATAATCAACTATGATTCATTCTTTTCCTCAGTGCAGTAAGGCATATTTTGCAGACAATGCTTGTATAAAAATAAGTTCCAGCATTTTAAAGTATTTACAGGATAGAGTGTTGCTCAGGTGAGAAAAGCATGCCTAAGGAGTTGTGGCCTAGTGAAAAGACAGACACGGTGAGCCCCAGCCTCTCATGATATGGGAGACATGCAGATTTAAAATACAACCAGATAGGGCATTCTATACCCACTGTATACCCTTGATTGCTCAGAGTGGAGCAGTGGGAAAGACATGAGCAGCAATGCCTCATGGCAGTCTTGATGCTCATAACTCATTTGGATCTTGTCCATCACATCCTATTTTTGCGATGGCTTATAGAATATCTGTGAGGGTGAACTGTATAGAGTCCCCATCATGATCCATAAAGCCAGGTTTTCAAAGAGTAATAGTAGCCCTGCAATGATAGTGAGTAAATACTCATCCCTGACCCATTGGTTAAGTGACTTTTATTCCCAATAATCCTTAGTCTGTTGCTGGGCTATTGTACCAAGGAGACTTATAGTCTTTATTATCTTTTTGGATTTGATTATCTGCATTCTGGGACTAGAACTAGAACCTGAACCATACATCTACTGGGAATTAATCTCTTCAATTTCTATGAAAAATCTCTATAATTGACTTGCTATTCAGTTTAATCTGAGTACATTTGACAAGGTCTCTTATTTCCAGGGGGAAAAAAAAGAGATTTATTTAAATCTATCTGTTCACCTTATAGGGGCAATATGGTAAAATAGATTGAGTGCCAGGCTTGGAGTCCATAAGACCTGTGGTCAAGTCCTATCCCTGATACTTACTGATTGTGTGATCCTGGGCAAGTCATTTAGCTATATGCTCCTCAGGTAACTCCCTAGGAATTTTCTACTAAGGGCTGTGGCCGGTATCAGTGGAAGGAATCCCCTTGAGATCCTTCTCTTACTTGGGTATAGTGGTATGCTGAGAGCTCTCTCTCTCTCTCTCTCTCTCTCTCTCTGTGATTTTAGCTACTACTAGACATTCTTCTTCTTGAGATGCCATAGCGCTTTTTGCTTTTGCTTCTATGGACTATTTTTTAAAAGAGAGATAGATAATGAACTGAAGGCCAAAGTATTATTTAAAATGATTTGATTCAAAAACCTCTATGAAAAGAAGGCAAGTAGAAAATTGGGTACTATTGACCACTGGCATTTTTCAATGAATTAAATTTTTGTTTTCCCACAAAAATATAAAAACAGTAGTTATTTTTATGAGATTCGGAGTTTGGTTTTGATATTTGTCTGGGAGTTGCTCTGGGTTCGGAGGGTCAGGAAAACAGTTTCTTTCTCTCCCTCTCAGTATGTGCCTGAGCTCATGTGTATATTTTTAATCTCCAGTTCCAGCTGTTTGACTTGAACTTCTCTCTGGTTTACCAGCTCTCGAAGTCTCCGAATTTCTTCTTGCTGTCGATAGAACATGTGCAGCAGCTGGAAAACAACAGATGAGTTAATTTGATCCATTATGGTTGCAGTCTAAAAACTGAGGGGTAAGTGCATCAAGCATCAGCAGAACAGTAGGTAAGCTCTGGGTATGAGGGAATTGCTAGCTTTTACTGAAATGCTTTATCCTTTATTATTTCCTGTCTCTACCCCCACTTCCACCCCTACATTTTTTAAGTCATTGTGTTAATATGGCTTGGATCTAAAGGGACATTTTTATGATGTATAGCTATTTCATAGCTGTTCTTAAATGAAGGAATCTCACTTCTTCAGTTATTGAGCCACAAAAGGATTGGTCAATACTTGGTTTCCCTTCCAGTGGGTGGACTGACCAACTCCCACTCTCTGTAGAAAGGCTTGAAGTGATGGTAACAGGGGCAGGGGTAGGGACAGTATATAGAGCATCTGGAATAGTTTATTGACCAACCCTTTGAGTGAACCCCCATCTATCTGCTTCTTTACCTTCTTGGTGCATTGGGAAATGTGGGGATTTGTCAAAGGAGAAAGGGAGAAGAAAAAAAAAAAGGGATGATAAGGTATGGTTTGAAAGGTCTTCTTTCCAAAGAAATTTATAGTCACTTGTAAGAAGGAAAGTGAACTTAAAGTGAACCCAAAGAGCTGCTAACCCTCTAAATATTGTACTCTTTCCAAAGGGGCCATTCTAGAAGCCATTATAAATAATTTGGCTTATTGAATTGGCTAACAAAAAAAAAGAAAACCTTGATTTTTATAGATTTTTATAAATACATTTTTATAGATTATTTTGGGTAACCTATGGTTACAGCAAACAGTAAGAACTAGGGGTCAAAGGCAGGGAAACCTGAGTATTTGAAATATAAGCAGGTGCCAGACAGTTTTAAACAAAGTTACATAAATATTGGTAATCAATAAACTGGGGCTTCTGGCTTCCATTTCTGAAAGTGGCATGGACATCATGCTGGGTCTTAGTTTTACCATCTGTATAATGGAATTAAAATGCTTGTGATTCATTGAGCTGTTGGGAGGCCTAATTTTTTCAAAATATTTGTAAAGTCAATTGAATTTAAGAATGAGGCTTTCCAGTAAAGGTAAGCAACCTGAGGTCTCCACTAGTGGCATTCTCTTTTTCCTGAACCATCATATATACCTCTTAATAGTTACATCTTTTTCCTCCTTTGACCTTCACATTCTCTTTCCTTCTACCTCTTCCTCTAGCTTTCTTCTTTCATCTTCTCCCCAAGCCATGTATTACCTCTTAACCTTCTTGTGCTTTTCTCCTTCCTTCCCTTCTCTCCCTTACCCTTTTTTATTCCCTTGCCTATGTCTGGACCTCACAAACAGCATTGTTTATTCCTTTCTAGAGCGGATCCCTATCTTAGGCATCCAGAGAAGCCCATTCCCAATGATTGGTTGTCACATAATCTTACCTCATTTTCTGTTTTTGGTGGAGGACATTCAAATGGATCAAAGCCATTTGAAAGCCAAGCTTTCCTGTCCTCTTGTAATTGATCCATTCCTTTTCTCGATTCTCTCTCATCCTGGAACCTGTATGGCATCTTGGCATCCTCAAACGCTGTTTTCCTTTCTATCCTGTCTTGATACCTATTTGATTCCAGAGGCACAGAATTGGGTAGCGTCCTTTCAGGAAACTTTCGTTGAGAGTTTACAAGGTCAGACCCTGGTCGCAGAGATATCAGCAATGGCCCTGGGAGACAAATAAAGTGACGGTGAGCATACCGTTCACACATCTTTACCGACACATAGAGGCAGGCAATGGGTAAGCTTCAAAGGTTTAGAGCCGTGGTGTCAAACTCAAACAGAAATCCATACATGAGGATTCCTGCGTGACGCATACTGACTTAGTTTTTGTTGCATTGTACTTATTTATTTTGTTAAATATTTCCCAATTACATTTTCATCTGGTTCTGGCCACAATCAGGGCCTCATGGCTGCTGGGTATTTGGCACTTCCATTTAAGAGGAATGATACAATTTAGGCTGGTGTTTCCCAAAGAATAGCTTGCCAGTGGGTTGCTCCCAAATGGTGAGATGTGCTTTGTTTGTGTCAGGGTGGGATTCCAGTGCAGCAGAGGAAAGAAGAAAGAAATTCTGAGGGATGTTATCACCAAACACTCACTAACAACATTAGCTATAGGTAGGTAACAACACTACTGTTGCAATGCCCTTTGATGAAGAGGGGATTTTACATTAACAAATAGGAATGGATGGTGGAACAAATATTGGACTTGAAGTCTGGGTTTATCTCTCAGTTCCACTACTTACTAGCTGCGTGACTGTGAGTACATGGCTTTGGACCAGGATGTGTTCATTATCTTACTCTGTTTCTGGGTCCCTCTGACATTCAAGCTATACAACCAATTTTCCAGACATGATATTGCTGATGATATTTTTACCAAAAGGTACAAAATGAACTAAATGTTTCCTTTACAAGGACTCTATGAGTTCTAAATACATTTAAAACAAAATCTTTCATTATTAGTTCAATTAAGATAATAGAGATATGACCCTTTAGATCCAATGACTAGATCAGTGGTCTCCAGACTTTTTTGATTGCACAGAAAACATTTTTGGAGCCTATATCACCAACAAGTGCATGTTTACCTATTTGTAAATAAATAAATAAACAAGGCTGAGATTCATAAGTTCTTTACACTATTGTATATACAAGTACTACTATATTATTATGTAATATATTATATGATAATTATATAATTATTATATCATATAAAAGATATATTATATTTTAATATAATTATTATATAATATATAAATATATTTATATATTATTTATTATATATTAAAAACTGATACAAATAGATGTTTTAAAAGGATGAAATAAAGATGAAATCATATTTTGATCTAGAGTCAATAGGGATCTACTAGAGTTTACTGAGTAGGGGAATGATATGGCCAGATCTAGAGTTTACTGAGTGGGGGAATGATGTGGCCAGATCTACATCTTAGGAACTCACTTTGACAGTTGTGTGTAGAATGGATTGAAGAGGAGAGAAAAGAGACAGGGAGACCAATCAGAATGTTATTGCATTAGTACAGCCAAGACGTGAGAGTCCTTATCTACGGGGAGGGGGTGGCTATTGAGAAGACAGAAGGGGGACAGATGTGAAAGATGTGGTGGTAGAAATGATAAGATCTGGCAGCTCGTTGAATATGTGGGGTGAGGGAGTGTGAGGCAACCAGGAAGGCATCAAGTTTGTGAACTCGGGTGACAGGAACACTTTTCTTCATAGAGAAATTTAGAAGAGTTGGGTGTTGGGGAAAAGATGATGTAATTGTTTGGATGTGGACAATGTGGGAATTTGTTTTAGTTGGTTATGCATATTTTTATAATGATTCTCTTTTTTATGTTGGAGGATGGGGAAGAGAGAAAGGCTTGTTAATTGAAAAATGAACAAAGAAAAAAAATCCTTTTTGTTTGGAAAAAACCACAAAAGATAATGTAATAAATTCTTCAATGAAGATCACAACCCATTTGAAAAGGGGAGGGAAGTGAGGCTCATTGTAACCCATCTGAAACTGGGGTAGGTATCAGACGGGTTGCAGAGACAACCCTCAGAGTCATCTGTCACAGCCACAAAATAATGTGGGGAAAAGAGAGTGGGCACATTATGTCAGTAGGTGGTGCAGTAGATAGAATGTTGGGCTTGGAATCAGGAAGACTCATCTTCCTGAGTTCAAATTTGGCCTCAGACACTTACTTAGCTGTGTGACGCTGGACAAGTTATTTAACCTTTTTTTTTTTTTTTGTCCCAGTTCTTCATTTGTAAAATGAACTAGAGAAGGAAGGAAATAGCAAACCATCCCAGTATCCTTGCCAAGAAAACCCCAAATTGGGTCACAAAGAGTCGTACATGACTAAAATGACTAAACAATAACAACAATAATTGTTTGGGAAATGACGAGGTAAAGAAAAATGCTTCATGTCAGCTTTGGGTCCAATAATTCACTAGACCTTGACTAAAGGCACCATATTTCACAATATTTTTCAACTGAAGCCACAGTAGGCCAATTGAGTGATTTTTATTGTTGTTGCACAAGAAGACAAATATCTGTCTTTGAAATCCTGACCTTTATTCATTCCACTCAGCCATTCCTGTGCTGTTAGAGCTGGCTGGACTCCAGCTGTCAAGGGGTAGATGTCTTCTTGGTAGGATTCCGACTACAAAGACAAACAAAAAGATGTAATATGGTCAAGGCAATGATAACCTAATGAAGTTGTTACTGCTGACCGATAATTATATGTGGCTTAAGAAGTACTTTCATTTTTCTGATATGCAAATTAATAAGGTTAGACTGATTTTTTAATGTTGAGGTTCTCTAATACATACGTCCTATGATAGGCCAATATTCAATCCTGATGTTTCACCTTACATGCAGCAAATCAACAAAATGACAAAATATGATCAATAGATAATGTTGGGAGGGTTGTGAAAAGAGATATATAATCATGCATAGTTGGTGGAATTGTGAATTGTTACAACCAATTTGGAAAGCAATTTGGAATTAAAGTGACTAAAATGTCTACACCCTTTGACCTAAAGATTCTACTGTTAGGCATATTTACAAATGAGGCCATTAATTAAAGTTCTCATATACTCAAAATATTTATAGCAACACTTGGACCTCAGTTTCCTCATCTGGGGAGTTGACTTAGATGACTTCTGAAGTCTTGGTGCTGGAAAGTTCCAAATCTATGATCCTTTCAATAAACTGGTTTAGAAATTATGGGACCCTTGTGGGGAACTGACTCCTTCTTAGAATTTGTGACAGCAGATAGGAATGCCAGGCATAGTCTAATATTCGTCTTGAACTTTTGGAGAACACATTTCAAAGGTTTCAGAAAAAGGATAGCTAAGATGCAGTGGCCTAAGATTCTAGATAAGAAATCACTTCATCAGTGTTAGGAAGCTTTCAAGATAATTCTGAAGACACAAAGAGAATTCCAATGAGGAAGAAAGGAACGGAGGAGAATTCTAAGAAGAACATCTGTGCAAAGATGACTCCTCAACCAACTTAGATTTTAAAGGACATTCAAAAGATGGCAGCAAGGACAGGTTAACAAACCATGAATTTCAGAACTTGGCAAGTGCTTTTAAAATATTCTCAGGAGTCCTAAAACTCAGAGTGGTTTGAAGCTGGAAGAATGATAAGGATAACAAAAAGGGTAGGCAAAATTTCATCATATGGAAAAAAAGGAAGATAAAAAAAGGGACAAGATTGCTGCTCATGGTGAATGGGATGACGGAAAGTGACTGAGTGAAGGTGGAGCAGCTTCTGTGTTCTCTGTCAAGGAAAAGAATATTTTTTTTTTAACTGAAAAGAGAATTGATACTAAAGATAAATGGAAATTTTAAAAAGCTAAGAGTGAATTGATACTCAAGATAAGCAGGATAGGATGAGAGTGCTAAGTGGACCTTGACAAGGTCAAATCTCTAGGCCAAGATGAACAATAAACAAAAGTTCTGAAAGAATCCTGAATGGAACTGCTGTCAGTGACCTTTGAATGGAGAATGGTGCCACGGGGACTGGACTGGAGAAGGGCAAATGTTGTCCTGAATTTTGAAAAGAAAATAAGAGTGTAATCTGAAAACTGTAGGGAAGTGAACTTGACTTTAATTCCTCACAAAAATTTAGAATTCTATTAATTTTATAATGAACATATCTGGTGAATAATGAACATTCAGAAAAGGAAGCAGTGAACACAAAAGACCAGAATGGTTTCATTAAGAATAGTCCATGCCACTTAAAAGAATACATAGAAGAAAACAGAATAAGATTCAGAGGGAGATACAAACAAATGAGATAGCTTTGAAATCAGCGTTTTCCACCTACCTCCTCACAGAGGTGCAGATTGAGATTTTTTTTTGACATGGTCAGAATTTGTTTTGTTTGATTATACATGTTGTAAAAGTTTTTTTTTTCTTTCTTTCAAATGGAGGGGGAGGAAGATGGGAGGGAGAGAAGATGGATTTTCATTAATTAAAAAAATTTAATTAAGAAATAAAATATTGAATTTATTATATACTTCAAAAAAGGAAATAAGCAAGATGGAATGGAGATTCAGCTTCATATGAAATTCTCTTTTTCTTTTCTTTGTATGTAGATGTGTTCATGCTTATTAATGTTGGCCAAATTTAGATAACAAAAACAAGAGTATAGTCTATGCCAAACTAACTCTCTCTCTCTCTCTCCCTGTCTCCCTCTTCCTTTCTCTCTCTCCTTGTCTCCCTCTTCCTTTCCCTCCCTCCCTCCCTCTCTCTCTCTTTTTTTTCTTTCTCTCTTTCTCCCCTCTCCCCAGCTTCCCACCCCTGCTTTAGAATACTTTAGATTATCTCTTACCTAGTTTTAGCAAAGAATTCTACAAATTCTCTCATGTTATTATTGTGGACAAGATAGAGAGCTAAAGAACATTACAGTTATGTGGATGTGGAACTGAATGGCTGGGCCCAAAGAGTTATCATGAATGGGTTGAGGAAAACTTTAAAGAAGGTGGCAAGGAGAGCCACAAGGATTTGTCCTTGTGCTGCTTAATATTTTCATAAATTACCTAGAGAAGGGCAAACATGGCATTCTTATCAAATTTTCAGCTGACACAAAATTAGAAGGGACAGCTAATTCTTTGGGTGATAGAGTTGGGAACCAAAAAATAACAGAGTAGAATATTGAGCCAACTCTAATGAGATGAAGTTTAATGGGAATAATGGTAATGTCTTAAACTTGGGTTCAAAAATCAACTTGGCAGGTACAAGATGAGGAGGTGTAGAAATAATAATTCATTTGAAAAAGATCTTAGGGGTGCTGGAGGGATGGAGGGAGTTTGGTGGACTGTAAGCTTATCAAAAGCCAGCAGTGTGATATGACAGACAAAAAAGCTAAGATGGTCCTAGACATCATTAAGAAAAGTATATTCAGAACAATGGAGGTAATAGTCTCATTGTACTCTATCCTGTTTGGATCGTGTCTGCCATATTGTTTTTAGTTTTGAGAGCTGCATTTTAAGAGGGATGTGAAAAATCTGGAGAACATCCAAAGGAGGACAACCAGTATGGTAAACGCTCTTGAAATTATGCTACATAAGGATCTGGAAGCAATGAGAACACTCTTCATGCCAGCATAGAAGCAGAGGTATATGGGCCATTCACTCCGATGGCATAATGAAATATTTTCATAGGTGGTGTGCTATGGTTGATCTCTCTTCCCTGTAATAGCTTAGTTATGGAAGCCACTTACCCGCCGAGGGACAATCATTGATATAGGCTCGATGAGACCTTTGGTTGTTATCAGTTTGTAGAATCTGAATATCTCACAGGAAGATACATCCAGACCCCTCTTTGGCATGATTCCTAATGGAAAGATCCAAGAGAAAGAAGAGATCATGGGAAATGACTAATACTTGAACAGTGGTCCACTGGGCTCTACATGGACATAGCTCTCATGGGCAAAGTCTGTGTTCTAGCTGCCTTTGTATCCCTAGAAACTGGCATACCACTTTGTTCATGGGTGCTAAATAAATATCTGTCAAACTGTTGTTTAGTTGCAATTAAATTGTATACTTCCTATTTAGTGAGTATGTACCTGAAAATTCAATCAATGGCTTTTCTTCCTCTCCTCCCCCTCCTCTACTCAGGATACTATTTGCTATCTTTGTGAGGTAGGCCATGAAAATGATCACAGTATTCCTATTTTTCTGAGGATGGGGATAAAGAATTATGTACAGTTGAAATGATAAATGTGTACCCCAAAGATATATCACCAACACTGGCAAACTAAACCCAGAGTATCTGGTCATAGATCATGCTTTGGGATCCAAGGTGTCTTAGGATAATGGGCTGGAAAGACTCTTAGAAAAAGTGTGGTCTGGAGGACCAAAGTTTAACTTATGCCTCTGCTCCTGACTCCCAGTTCATTGGTTAAATCATGATTAGCTCATGAACTTGATTTTTGTCCTTCACATCAGTATTAGTCAGACAGGAGGGAAAATAGCTTCTCTGCTAGGCTCAATTCTAATATGTCTTAATAGATATAGTTTAGGACCTCTAAAGAAGCAAAAGTTTTTCTAAAAAAAGTCCTCTTTTCCATCTCTGTTAATGGTACCACCCCTCTTCTAGATTTTCTATTCTAGAAACCTTGGTTTCATCTTTCATTCATTCCCTTCCTTCATCTCCTATATCTCATAAGTCACCAAATTCGATTTTTTCTTGCTTCAAAATGCCTTTCGGTTTTACTCCTCCTCTCCATTTCCACTACTACCTCACTAATCTAGGCTTTTATCACCTTGCATAAGAATTACAGCAATAGTCTCTTAGTCTCCCTCACTTAATCTATCCCTCCTTTTAATCCATCATTGCCTGAATCTTCTCTGGCTGACTATGGCCTGCTGCATCAAATACATGAACTCCTCTACCTGACTTTCAAGGCCCTCCATTATCTGACTCTATCTGATATTTTTAAAGATCCATCATTTCACTTTCTCAATGTGAGTGAATTATCCTCTGATGTAGATCACAGCCTTTCCATGCCTCATCCATTTGTGGCTAATACAAGTTTACTGCCTGGTGGCCAGCCTTACAATGATGAGGTCTCTGAAGTTAGGTTGACCAATCCTCCAATGACTGTTAGCATGGTCTACCACCAGTTTGTGTATACTCTAAGTCTTCTCAGCTTGGTTCAGACCTACTAGAATGTGTCATCTGTGGATATAATTTTTAGGGATGCAAAGACACCACCATAAAATGGCATAATGAAGTAGAATCTTATGGGAGCAACAATAATTTGTATAGAACATTCTAATTTATGAAGGACTCATTATTAGATTTGACCCTGTCAACAGTCATGTATGGTAAGACAAATATTATTTCTACTTTACAGAGAAGGAAAGTGAGGTTCAAATAGACTAAATATCTTGCCAGTGAGTGGCAGCTACTGGGATTTTTTTATCTTCTGACTCTAAATCTAGTGCTCTTTCCACTAAACCATATTTATTAACATTCAACACATCAGCATAATGAGGACTATGTTATAATCTTCATAACATCCTTGGTCATATAAAGGGAAAAAATGTTTAATAGAGGGTGAATTTCTATCTAGTAAGCAGTAGAGTTGGGATTTGGAGGCAGCTAGGTGGCACAGTGGATAGAGTGCTGCGCTGTTCAAATCTAGCCTTGGACACTTACTAGTTTTGGGACCCTGGGCAAGTCACTTAGCCCCATTTACCTCAGTTCCTCAACTGTAAAATGAGCTGGAGAAGGAGATGGCAAACCACTCCAGTATCTTTGCCAAGAAAACCCCAAATGGGGTCATGAAGAGTTGGGCATGACTGAAACAACTGAACAACAACATAAGAGTTGGGATTCAAATCCAAGTCTTCAGGTGCCAAGTCCAGTGGTTCTTCCATTAATTACATCGTATTACTGTACAAGTCTTACTTCTCCTCCACAGATTTTTCTGATTATTTCAGTAAAAGTAATTTTTCCCTCTGAAGACCTATTGTACTCACAATCAATATCATATAGTTTAGCATTTGATTCTCTTGATTGTTCTATATAAATCAAATTTTAATAAGTTCCTGCTTACGTGCCATTGACTGTGCTAATCTTACCTACTATTCAACCCTAGACTGGCAAGGCCATTTACAACAGAGTATATATCCATGTTTCTTTAGTTTTTTCCCATAGACTGAAGCATATGGTTGGATACATAAAATAACAAGCCTTCAGTAACCACTTGTTGGTTGATTGACTTTGCTCTTGAAGCTGCTTCAAACCATGCCATGTGTTTCTGCATAAACAGTGGGAGAAGAGTCATCCAAGTTCTTTGAGACATTGTTGACCCTTTCAGACATTTGCTCCAAAAAAAAACCAAAAAAAAAAACCCAACCCCTTCACATGGTGATCTCATCAGCTCCCATGGATTTAATTACCATCTCTATATTGATGAGTCTCAAATCTACCTGTTCTTCTCTAACCTCTCTGTTGAACTCTTGCATCTCCACCTACCTTTCAGATAACTCAGACTGGATGTCCAGTTTAACATTTTAATTTCAGTTCTTCATCTTTTAATTTTCATTTCTTCATCATTCAGTTCTGTTTTAATCCTTAAACAAATTCATCTTTGATTCCTGAAGCAAAGGTTTTTCATGGCACTTGGAAAAGTTCTGAGCTATGTGTTTGTGAGGCAATGACTTTGGGTTTTTAGGAATTTATTTTGGAAGTTGATGCTGTGCCTAGTGTACATTTCAGTTGTTCTAATACCAGACTTCTTAACATGGAAGCTAGGAACTTGGTTTTTTAAATATTTGTATGTATTTTATTTTATACATTTAAAAACTTTTTTTTTTCTGAATAGGGATCCATAGGCTTCACCAGACTGCCCAAAGGAGTCCATGATACAAAAAAAGTTAAGACCCTCTGTTAAGGGGTTGGGCTTCTAACTGACTTTCTTTTTGTTTATTTAAAGAAGGATATGTTAGGTTTAGTAGAATCAAGACTTTTAGGCAAATTAGTTCTCCAGAAATCCCATGAATTTCTTTGGGTACAATCACTAATTTCTGAGTCTCCTTTTTTCTTTTTGGCATCAACTAGCTGGGGATCACAGAGCTAGTAAAAGTCTAAGGCCAGATTTAAACTCAGGTCCTCCTTACTCCAGGGCCAGGGCTGTATCCACTGCATCACCTAGCTGTCTTTTTTGTGTTTTCTTTCAAAGAAAAACCCCTCTGTCCAAGTAGTAACTATGTCTAGAAGAAGAGGCCAGGGGAACTTTGGTGGTAGTCAGCTGCTTTCTCTCCTCTTGCTTCTTACACATAAACAACCTCATCACTCCACAGAAACTGTTCTCTCCAAAGTTACAAATGATTTTTTAATGGCCAAATTTAGTGATCTTTTCTCAATCCTTATTCTTGACCTCTCTGCAGCCTTTGGAACTGTTGATCACTCTCTTTTTGATACTCTCTTCTCTCTAAGTTTTTGGAATACCATTCTTTTCTAGTTCTCCTCCTACCTATCTGACCACTCTTTATCGGCCTCTTTTGCCGGATTCTCAGCCAGGTCATTTGCTCTAGCTGGAGGTATCTCACAGAGTTCTTTCCTGGGTGTTCTGTCTATGTACTTCTTCACATGGTGATCTCATCAGCTCCCATGGATTTAATTACCATCTCTATATTGATGTCTCAAATCTACCTGTCCTTCTCTAACCTCTCTGCTGAACTCTTGTATCTCCACCTACCTTTCAGATAACTCAGACTGGATGTCCAGTTTAACATTTTAAACTTGATATGTCCCAAACTGAACTTATTATCTTTCCCCTTAACCCCTCCTCCCCTCCTCACTCCCTTACTACCATCAAGGGGCAACACCAACCTCAGTCCTTTAGGCTCACAATCTAGGTATCATCCTTCAATCCTCACCTCTTCTCCCCCCCCACCCCTGTTCCTTATCCAATCTGGTGCCAAGGCTCGTGGATTTCATCTGCAACATCTCTTGAATACGCCTCTTTCTCTTCTCTGATACTACCCCAACCTTGGCACAGGCTCTCATCACCTCACACTTTGGCTATTGCAATACCTGTTGGTGGGTCTGCCTTCCCTAAGTCTCTCCCCACTCCAAACCATCCTCTATTCAACCACCAAAATGATTTTCCTAAAGCACAGGTCTGATCACGTCACCTTCCTACAAAATAAGCTCCAGTCACCTCTAAGATCAAATAAAAATTCCTCTGGCATTCAAAGCCCTTCATAACCTACGTTCTTAGCCCCTCCCCCCCACTTCCCACCAAGTCTTCCAGTCTTCTTACTCTTACTCTGTACTCTCTCTATTTGTGATATTGGTCTTCTTGCTATCCACGAAGGAGATATTCCATCTCTCAGTTCTGGGCATTTTCTCTGGCTTTTCCCCATTCCTGGAATGTTGTCCCCTTTCATCTCTGCCTACTGGCTTTCTTAAAGTCCCAACTTTACAGGCAGCCTTGCACAATAGCTCTCAATTCTAGTGTCTTTCCTCTTTTAATTATTTCCTGTTTATCCTGTACATAGCTTGTTCATATTTATTTGTTTTTTTTTTTGTCTCCCCCATTAGACTGTGAGCTCTCTGATTGTCTTTGGTCTCTTGTTTTGCCTCTTTTTTGCATCCCTAGCACTTAGCAGGATCCCTAATACCTAGTAGGCACTTAATAAATGTTTATTGACTGATTGACTTTGTACAAGACATTTGGATGGGGAGCAGGGAGTTTGGAACATGAACATTAAGTATATGAATCATGGCTTTGGGGGTGAAGGTCCTCTCTTCTTCCCCATTTTTTCTTTGTCTCTTCTTTTTCTCATTTTTCTTCTTGCCTTTCCTTTCTCCTGTCTTTCTTTTTTCCTCCCTCTCCCTCTCTTTTGGTCCAACTCTGTTCCTCTGTCTTCCCTCCCTACCTTCTCTCTCTCTCTCTCTCTGTCTCTCTCTCTCCCCCTCCTCACTGTGTCAAAGGAATGGAAGACCAGCCTCCACAATCCTGAGTAGTAGAAGAATGATAAGGGTTAATTTTAACTTCTCCCCTTGCCCCCTCCCTGGACCTCTCTGGCTTTCAAAGAACCTGTCTAGGACTTTTCAGGTAGTGGGAAGAGCCACCTTCATCAGAGTTACCCTACCCCCTTGCCTTCCCTCAAACTATTTGCCCACAGGATGTGGATGAGATAGGAACCAACAATTCTATTCCTCCTGATGAGATGGAGGACCACAAGGCTTTACCATTTGCTGTGCCTGTATGCTTTGTGGTCCCTAGACATTGTCAGCTCAGTCACCTAACCCAAGGACTTCTGGGCTTAGCCATCCTTCTCACTGCTATGTCCTTAGTATTTCTGAGCCTTTCTCTCTGCCCTGCAGTTGATGGTTCAGTTTCTGATACTGAACTGATATAATTTAATAGTGGAAATGATATTAAAGAAGTTACATTAGCATTTTCTTTGCTAAGGACCACGGGACCTTTTCATCCAACTTGTATTTAAAACCTCTTATACGTGTTATACCTACCATTAGAATATAAGCTCCTTGACAGCAAGAATTCTCTCTCCTTTTCTATCTGTACTGTAAGTGCTTAGCCCAGTGTTTGGTATATAATGAATGCTTCATGTATTTTCATTCATTCATTCATTCATGCATTCATTCATTCATTCTAAAAAGAGCTCTGGACTAGGATTTAGAAGATCTGAGTCCTAGTCCTGGCTCTGCCATTAACTAAATGTGGGATTTTGGGGTGTCATTTAATCTCTCTAGGATTTACTTGTATTATATGTAAACTAAGGTGCTTGACTGGATGATTTTTGAGGTTGGTAATAATGTCAATTCATAATTTTTTCCTCAATTCTTCCATTTTGTGCCTTCTTTATAGATATCTTGAAAATCTTTCTCTCAATGATTTCAAAATGACTTTGTCTCCAAAGTGGTCAAAAACACTCCTGATTCACATTCTTATCTGCTCATTTTTATAAGAATCATTCCAGGATCATAGATTTAGATCTGGAAGAGACCTTAGAGGTCATTAAGTTTAATCTCCTCATTTTGTAGATGAAGAAAGCCAAAAAAAAAAAAAAAAGGTTAAGTAACCTGCCCAAGGACACACAGCTAGTTAAGTGTCTAAAGCAAGCTTTGAACATATGTCTTTCTGACTGTAGGTCTAACATTTTATTTATGACATCACACTGACTTTCTACAAACATATAAGGGTGCCCTTGGAAGGAAAAAAAAAGAAAAGGAAAGAAGCAGGCTTCTGCAAATTGTTCATTATTAAAGATTGTGTCTTCAGACAGACAACTGACTAAAAGGTATAGCCCACAAGATCCCTCAGGGTTCCTTGTTTGTTCATTGTTAAAGCATTTGATTCAGTAGTGCAAAATGCTGTCTTAAAGGTTCTCCCCTAGTAATGTATCACTCAAGCATATTTGAGGATATATAATACAATTGATGTAGCTATTGTTAAACCATCCTCAGTATCAAGAGAAGAACAAAACAAGCAGATAGTGTGCACCCCACATAATTGTCACTGTCAGGAGGATGTCTGGTGTAGAATTCAAATGGATTAAGAATTCCCTAGAGAGAATGAGGTCCTCCAGCTAACTGGAGGAAGTGGGCTGGCCATATAGTGAGAGTGAGGGAAAACAGACTGAGTCTCATACCCAGGGAATGTTAGAAGACCTAGCAGACAGCCTTTGGCCCATTGGGTGGATCCTCAATAAAGGATCTATGGGAGGACATGGACAAGAATTACACAGGATGAGCACGTATGGTACCCAGGAAAGTGTAACCTGTATTGACAAGATCACTGAGATATTGAAAAACTGTGGACTGAAAAGGCCTTTGTGGCCTGTCCTGAGAGCCTAGTCATAAGGGAAATATTGTTTTCATAGGAAAATGTATTCTGAGGTCCAAATGCAATTCATATGTTACCTAGGAAGATAAAGAATTAACCTGTTAGCACCTGTTCATACTTATTGGACAAGGAGACGAGGGCCCTGGGAGACAGACACAGGACAGATAGATGTTAAGAGGAAGAGTCTCAAAGTTTCAGAGCCTAAGGTATTGGGATCAGAGAAGAGTGAGAAACCATGATAACATGAAGCTAGGACAGTAGGAGAACGCTGAAAACATTATAATTATATTCCATGCATATCTTTTTTATGTCATTTTTATGTACAAATTCCTAGTTAATTACCAACTCTACTAAACTTGAAGGTCTACTTCACAGAGGCAATAGTTATGCATTTAAAATTCCATTGTCTGAGTTGCCATGAGAGGCTGCAGAGATTTACTGGAAAAAACATTGGGCTAGGAGTCAGGGGACCCCCAGGTCTGCCACTAAGTAGCTATTCATATTGCCTAGAAGAAAGGGAAGCAATGGCCTCCTCGATTCTGAACTGTCCAGATAATAACAATATATGATAATAATAATAGCTAACATTTATATAGCATTTACTATGTGTCAGACCATGCTAAGTATTTTACAAATATTATCTCACTTGATTCTCATACAAATCTTGGAGGTAGTTGCTATTATTATCCCCAGTTTACAGATAGTAAACTAAGGCAAACAGAGGTTAAGTGATTTGCCCAGAGTTACACAGCTAGTAAGTGTCTGAGGTCATATTTGTACTCAGTTCTTCCTGATTCCAGGCCCAGTGGTCTAGCCAGTGCCCCACATAGATAACAGATGAAGTATTGTTTCAGTTTACAGTACTACATTTTAAGCGAGACATTGACACTTTGGGGCAGGTCTAGAGGAAGGTGACTGGGCTAGTGAGGATATGCAAAATCATGTCATTTTAGGATTAATTAAAGGAACTGGAGATGTTTCGCCTGCAGAAGAATATAGTGGAGTATGTGCGTGTATAAGGATATCGCTATCTTCAAATTCCTGAAGGATTGTCATAGGGAATAGAAATTATACTTAGTTTATGTGGTTCTATAGGTTAGAACTGCAAAGTTCTAAGTAGGCAGATTTCAGCTCAGTAGAAGGAAGAACTTTCTCACAATTAGAGCTAGCCAAATGATGGAAGAAGTCATGGCACAGAGGCTCCAAGATCCGGCCTTGAAGCCACAAAGGCCTGGGTTCAATTTCTGCCTCTGACACATACTGTGTGACCAGTTAAATTACTTAACTTCTCAGAACCCCTGGCAATTCTATGAGACTACAAGTTCCAAAGAAATTGCCAAACTGCATTGGTAGAGGATATTTCCACATGTGGAAATTTTCTATATCTGTGAAATCTTGTCTAGTTCCTATCCCAATAATAAGACTGCCTTGTGTGAGGCAGTGAATTCCCCATCACTAAGATATATAATCAGAGGCTGGATGACTATTTATTAGGGATTTTGAAGAAAGAACTCAAGGTTCACATACATGTGGTACTAAAGAACCTTGGAGATCCCTTCTAATTTTAAGATTCTGTGATCCCATCAATTTATGACCATTTGTAAATCATATTATATCCCTGGGCCTCAGGCTTACTATTTATAAAATAAAGAGATTAAATTTTATAACCTTATTTTCTTATCATAGGAATATTTTATGATTTATACCTCATACCTAAAGTATCCTCACAAAATTGTCTTGTGCATTATCAATTTAAATTGAGTGTTTTGAGCTACTTAATAATAATGATGATGATGATGATAAGAACATTTAGGCAGGAGAAGATAAATGATCACTCCAGACACATGGTCACAATCGGTCTTCTTAAGAGGTAGGTACTGCTTTGAAAGTCAGTGAATAAAGTCTGTAACATCAATCCAAACAGAAAATCATGTATCTAAGCAATGTGCCTCTTCCATACTCACCGATTCCCTTTTGAGGGAGATAGGAACGATATTCTGTAAGATAGTTCAAGTGTGGTTTGTCTGCACTAATTTCATAGTATCGAATGTTCCCATCACCCTGTGAAAGAGAAGAAAAAAGAACAAGGAGATATGTTGGTCTCTCATTTGGTCTGGAACAATACAAATAAAACAACTGCATTTATTTTTATGTTCAGTTGAAAACTAAAACGCCCTGGAAAATCATAAAATTGAAAGAATAAAGATTTAAAATTCTTTTATTTTCTGTTCCTACTCCTACTTCTCAGTAGCCCTTTCTCTTTTTGGGTAGAGTCCAGGTATTGTGGCATTTAACAAAAAGTAGTTGCTTCCAAATTTTTAGATATCTTTCCCTTTCTCTAGTGCTTGCATGTCAGAGATAGGATAATAGTTGTGGTAGGGTTGGTGTGTATGGTGATAAAGCACAATTCAAGAAATTGCGTGTGTGTGTGTGTGTGTGTGTGTGTGTGTATGTGTGTATGTAATAGCAGATAACAAAAGGGAAAGCAAGGAGTTGTGACCTTTTTTTTTTTGGTTAAAACATCTTTTAAAGTTTAGATAAGAAGATCAAAGATTTTTGATCTTAGAAGGGGTATAGTTGGAAGGGATCTTAGAAGTCATATAGTTGAACATCCTCAGCTTACAAGTGAGGAAAATGCACTTTATAGAATTTAAGTGAACTTATTCATAGTCACATAGGTAGTAAGTGTCAGAGGCAGGATTTGAATCCAGGTCTTTTGAATCCATATCCACTGTACTCCACTTTCTACTGTACCATACAGTCTCTCTGAGCCTATGAATCTCTTACTCTGCAACTCATTATGGTATGGATGTGACCCTGGAAGCAATACCAGTAGGAAGCTATGTCCTACCAAGCTAGAAATGCCCTTTTTTTGGGGGGGGGGAGGTTGTTGTAATGAGCTGTGTATCTGATGTCCAAGGAAAATTCTGGCTAAGTTCACTGAGTCTATTGTAGCTGAACCTGAGTCATGGATATTTTTCATCCCAGCAACTCATGAAGGTTCTATATTAAGGTACTGAGGAGTTATGATCTGCATTTTAGAAACTGGTTATACATATTGATGAAGTATAGCCATCAGTTTAAAAGCTTGATGTTTAAAATGCATCTCTATAATTTTTTTTTATTTCTCCAGTCTAAAAACATTTATAGCTTCAGGTCAATGATGAAATAAAGAATTCAGTACTCAATTTTATATTCCCCTTCTCCTCCACCTAAGAAGTTCACTACTGTACTATTGCATATTTAGAAGCCTTAGTTTTAATTCTCATAGTTGCAAAGCTTACCTTGCCCACCACATAGAGCATATTGGTGTCTGAATCATAGAAGGGGAATAATACCCCAGAAGAGCCATCTAGGTCCTCTTCAATTAAAGGCACAGAAAGGTCATCCTGTCCAGGGAAGAAGAAATGAAAAAAGGCTGTTCAGTTACTCTTTTGGTTGAAAAACCAATGTATCCCAGCCCAGACTACACAATGTACCAGGAAAATCTCTAAATTCTCCAGGACTAACTGTTCCCCCATTTGCAGCATCAATAAACAAGATTCATAGAGCCCAGGAGGAATGGTTTGGAAGCCAGGGAGAAGTAGAAATAAAGAAGAAGAGAAGGAGGCAGTCTTTAAGTTGATAAATTTTAAGAAATAAGGACCTTTGGTAGTAAAAGTATAGTAGACTAATAAAATTTTTTCCAAAGGCCAGAAGTTTGGGAAACATTACCATAAAACACTTTTCCTTGTTCTAATGTTTTGATGCTTTCATCTTATTGATCCATAAAGTTACAGAACATTAGATCTGGAAGGCACTTGCGAGATAATCTAGTGAAGTCCAACCCCATCATTTTTATAGATGAGGAAACTCAAGCCCTAATAAGTGAAATGATATTCCCAAGGTCATATAGTAGATTAGCACCAAAAATAGGAGTGGTACTTGGGTTTTTTAATTACATTGCTCCTCTAAGAACAATCAAACAACTTATTCTCAGTTTGGAAGAATCTTCAAAAAGCATGGGTGCTGCCTTCTGCATCATGGATCTCCCATGGTGGGACTGGATCTTTGGCACTCCCAACCAAAACATATTCCCCAAAGCACAATTATATCAATGACTTTGCTCAGAATTGCACCCTACATTTCAAAACAATAATGAGTGTGGTTGGGTTGGAGGGGAAAGAAGTAAGACTTCATCCCTGTCAAAATCTCATGAAATGAGAACAGAAATGAGTTAATTCTTATAGCTGGGGTATTGTAGGAAGTAAAAGACATATAAGACAGATAAAGGGGAAAGCAAAGGTCAGTGACCACTGGCAAAGGAATGGCTAAGAAAGCTCTCCATCCTAGTAATAGGATTTAATTTAATTTGGGTAAGCAAAACTTACAGCAAACACTTGCCCTATACACATGAATGTTTGGGTACTACATCTGCAGTTCTTGTGTGAGCCATTGCGCTGGTGTTATTTGAAGTGATAGGGAAATTACAAATCTAAAAATGAAAGTGAGTCCTGGTTTGTGTAGCCAAAGAAACTATCTGTTACCATAAAAGAGATAGGAAATGGTAAGTTTGGGGCAAATATTTTGAATATTTTTTGGGAAAGCACTCTCTTATTGAGGAAAAAGAGGGTTTGAATCTGAAGTGATTAGTATTATTTGTCTTCACTGATCAAGCTCAACAAATAATACATAACCCTCCAATTCCCTTTGCCTATGGGGACAGAACCACAGTTTGGAATACTCAAGCTGGAAAGGACAGAGCATATGGCACATTTTCTGGATGGTGATCCAGGAGGAATAGTATGAGATATCTCAGAATGGCTGTCTTGTTTGGAGTTCATATGAGTTGGTGTGGAGCCTTTAGCTCAGTGCTTTTGGGAACGGGCTTTAGTTGGGATTCACCAGGGGTAAGGATGGCCAGGAGAGGTCAGGCCAAGGTCTATGAATCCCAGAGTTTGGCCATTTTGAATTGGCCTGGGTCCTTGTTTTGACTGTACAGAGCCAGGGTACTTTTTATGTTGGTGTAGGCAGTTTATCCTCCATATTAATGGAAGACCAAGAAAATATTCATCTTATGACCAGGCTTAGAGGAGTCAGACTGACATATCTCTTTGATTCTCCTGTAACACCAAGAGCCTGTGTCCAAAGGAGAGCTGTGTCCAACTGTATTCATGTGTTGCAAAACACCTTCAAGGGTTGGATCAGGGAGGCTATAACCCAGATCAGGTGACCTCATATACAGCTTGGCAGAGAAGAGTGACCCAGGAAACCTCTAAGTTTGCTTGTAAACAAAGCTAAACCCTTGGGCAAAATATACCTAAAGAACACACAGAGATTCAGAACAGAACATACACCTACCTCAAAGGGTTGTTGCAAGAATCAAAGGAGGTAATATAAGAAAACCATTTGGTAAACCTTAAAATTGTTATTAAGGAGCAGCTTTAGATTGAGGATGGATAGCTCCTGAAGGTGGCTGAAGAGCAATGGTGGAAACAAGAGAAAGAGTCTGTGGGTCCAAGATATGGTGGGAGTGAAGGCTCAGACTAAGCAGGAAACATTGATGGGACATTTTGGAAGGAGAGAAATTTACCCTCTTAATCCAATATGTTGAATTCACAACATGAGAGGGGAGGAAGGGGAAAAAGAGAGAGAGAGACATAATGGTAGACTAATAGGTCAGAACTAAGAGCAATGACAGAAAGATTAAACTTGATAGCAATGATGGAAAGATTAAATTTGATACAGGGGGAGAAAATCTCCTGAATAATTAAAGCTATCCAGAGGTGGAATGGGCTGCCTCAGGATTCCCCATTACTAATGGTCTTCAAGCAAAAGCTGAATGACTCTGTTGGAAATATGATAGAAGGAATTCTTAAGGTATTGGTTGGAATCTTAATAGTTGGTATCTGAGATCCATTCCAACTCTGACATTCTATGACTCTGAAAAGGCAGCAGCTGTATAGGCAAAGTGAAGAGGGTTCAAAACAGTCCAAAGTGGTGAATTATGCTATGGGATATATAGGAATATCAGGGAATTCTCCTGATCCTGGTGATCAGTAAAGTAGGATTATTAGAAAGATAGACCCTGGATAGAGTTTGGGATGAAAGATAGAGTTAGAAATATAGGAAGATGTTGGAAGGGTTAGTGTTTGGTTTAAGTGACTCTGAGGAATGGGAGGGAGAGAGAGAGAGAGAGAACGAGCAATTAATTATTGACAGAATTGTATAAAGTGCTGTGAGTGTTAGCTTATGTGTTTAGGAATTTAAGAGTTTACTAGGCAATGTGAGGGTAACTTTTGAGGAATATGGGTATCAAATTTACCCCCTAGCCCAGGGACCCAGTTATGTGTTGGGAGTCAATGAGATTTAAGGTATGGAAGCATGGGAACAGTAGCTTCTAGGGTCAGACAGAGGCAGGCATCTCTTACCTACATAGGTGGTTAGAAACCTGTGGTTGGGTGAGTCTGGGTCCTCGTGCCAACACCCATGGGGTGATACTGGTGTAGCACCCAAATTGACACTCATGTTCACAGGTTGGTCCCTAGGTGTATGACTACAACTAAGGTTCAATGAATTCTGTGGGTCTACAATCCTAAAACTATAGCTTCCAAGCCTCTGTTGCTGTGAGTATCTTCAACAATCAACCAATAGACACAATTAGTTTGAAGCAAAGAAATTTACTTACATGGTGTTGTAACAACAGTAGCTAAAAATAATTTCCCCATAAACCTGATGCACAGTGTCCCAGAAATACATGAGATGTCAGTGGGTACAGTAGACACATAATAAGAGCATACTGGTTGTGAGGCACACACATAGTGGAGATAAGTGACCAAGGCCACTCATGACCCTGATTCTGTGGGGCCCCAATATCTTTTCTCATCTGATGGCATCCTCACACTATGCCCCACTGGGTACAGTGTCTCCACTGGACAGGTCACTCCTATTGGCTCCTTATTCCTCCTCATCTTTGTAACTCAGCTACCAACTGCCAGAATTAATTCTCTTTTGAATCCACGGCTGGCTTTCTTCTCTGCTGCAAGTGGTCACATTTCCTCTGGGCTGTTTCCTGCTTTGATTCTTTTTCTCTCTGCTCCATACTGAATTCTATGTCTCCAGCTGGTCACGTAGCTCTACCGTAAGATACCATGACCAGCAACACTGGGGTGGGGGTGGGGGAAGAGGAGGGAAGAAAGAGAGAAATCTCTTCTCTCCTGAAATTCAGTGTCAAGGCATGATCCCCTAATAAGAGCTGGATTTTTCTTCCAAGGTTAGGTTTCTTTTCTGTTGTGAGGGAGCACACTCTTTAAAGCTTTACTGAGTGACTCACTGCTGATCCTTTGCTAGCCAGTAGCTAACTGCCCTCTAACCTTATCAAAGAGAATTTCTTCCACCTCATAAAGAGGTAGTAAAGTGAAAATGTTTCTTTGCCCTTTCCTGAATCTCTCAACATCTGTTGCCCTCCCTCCCAAATAATCTTGTAATTAACAACTTTGTGTTTATCTGCATTTATTCATTTCATATTTATACTGTATATACCTTTGTGTGCAATTATTGTCTCATCCATTAGAATGTGCTTATCTATGTACTTGTTGTCCTCCCCTTTAGAATGTAAGCTCTTCACAAGTAGGATTATTTCATTCTTTGCATTTGTATCTCCACTGGCACATAGTATGTGCTTAATAAATTTGATTTATTAGAATATGTTTTGTAGTCCCATCACATATTCTGAGGCCAGTTATAAGACTGAACACTTTCTTAGCTTGGTGCTCTAACTTGGAATCAAGTGAGTTTAAGGAAAGCTGTCAGCACCATGGCCAGAGGAAGCATCTGGCTTGATCCACACTGAGTAGGGGTAAAAGCCAGGGATTTGGTTCAGCTGAGCTGTGCTGTGGAAACATGCTGAGATGACATTACCACAGCTACCACATTGGTGCAGGTCCTCATCACCTTCTGTCTGGACTATTGCAATAACCTCTTAATTAGTCTCTTCTCCACATCTCTTCCATCTCCAATTCGGCCTTGGCATAGCTGCCGCAGTGATGCTCCCAAAGCACAGGTCCCACTATGTCACTCCTCTGCTCTAAATGTTTCAGGGGCTTGCTGCTTCCTCTAGTATCACACACAGACTCTTCTGCTTGACAAGTAAAGCTCTCCACAACCAGAATCCAGCCTACTTTTCTAGGCTTATTGTACATTATTAAAACACCCTACAATCTGCCCAACCTAGCCCACTTGCCTTTCCCTCGTCCACAATGCTCCACATCCTCTCTGGCTCTTTGATTTTGCACGGGATGTGCTCCATGCCTGAAATCCACTCAGTCCTTACCTCTACCTCTTGGAATTCCTAGTTCCTCTTAAAACCCAATTTAAATTTTTAAAATTAAATTTACTCGAGACTTACCTGATTCTTCCAGGTTACTAATGCCCCTTTGAAATGACTATAGATTTGATTATATGTGTACATGTTGTCACCACTCCAGAATGGTAGCTCCTTGAGGGCAGCAACTATTTTGGGTTTTTTATTTCTGTATCCCTAGCATCCAGCCTAGTGCTTAGTAAATGTTTCTTGATTGATCGATTAATTTTTTTTTTTGGTGAGTTGAGAGATGAAGAGACTACTGAAACTGTCTATCTATTCTAACCCTTTCATCTTATGGGTGAGGAAACAGAGACCTAGGGAGATTAAGTGATTTTCCCAGTGTCATACAGGGTAATAAGCATCAAAGAAGAGATTTGAGTTTGGGTCTTCTGATTCCAGAGCCAGTGTTCTGTGCCACACTAATTTATGTTTAGTAAGGAGGAAGGAGGAGGCAGCCAGGTGGCATAGCGGATAGAGTGCCAGACTGGAGTGAAGAAGACTCATCTTCTGAGTTCAAATCCAGCCTCAGATACTTACTAGCTGTGTGACCCTGGACAAGTCACTTAACACTGTTTGCCTCAGTTTCTTCATGTGTAAAATGAGTTGGAGAAGGAAATGGCAAATCACTCCAGTATCTCTACCAAGAAAACCCCAAATGGGATCATGAAGAGTTGGACATGACTGAAAAATGACTAAACCAAGAAGGAAAGGCTATTACAAGTTGACAGTAGGTGTTCTTTTGGCCTCAAGGTGGTTTAGGTTGTCTATATAGTGAAAGTAAGACCTAAGCCAGGATCTAGGGCTTGAGTAGGGGACTTTACCATATGATCTATATTTCTAGAGGGGAAAATTCCCTCACTTGGACTTGACTCAGTGATTCTTTCCTATTGCTCTAATTTGCAAGGAGATAGCCAAGGAAGAGAGTATGTGTCTGTGTGTCCTTTCCTTGGGTGTTCTGTAGAAGCATTATTAGCATCTCTGGGTGGCAATTACAATATGAACTAGCCTGCGTTGAGTCTCTCCCTACTCCAGTCTATCTTCCACTCAACTGCCAAATTTACCTTCCTAAAGCACAGGTCTCACCATGTCACTTCCCTATTCAATAAACTGCAGCATCTCCCTATCACCTCTAGGATCAAAGCTCTTCAAAACCTGGCCTCTTCCTACCTTTCCAGTCTCTTTATGCCTCTCTTCCCCCCTCCCCCCATCCCCACAAACATACTTTGCGATCCAGGGACACTGGACTCCCATCAGACATTCCATCTCCTGGAAATTTTCACTTGCTGCCCTTCTGCCTGGAATCCTCTTCCTCCTTACCCCTACTTCCTGCCTTCCCTGGCTTTGTTCAAGTCCAGTTAAAATCCTACCTTCTATAAGAAGCCTTTTCTGATCCCCCTTAATTTGAGCATCTTTCCTTTGTTGATTATTTCCAGTTTATACTATATATAGAGCTTGTCTGTACATAGTTGTTTGCATGTTGTCTCCTCCATTAAACTGGCAGCTCCTTGAGAGCAAGGACTGGCTTTTGCCTTTCTTTATATCCCTGGCACTTAGCACCGTGCCTGGCACACAGCAAGTGCTTAAGAAATGCTTGTTGACTGGCTGTCAGAGAGTCAGTTTTCTGTAAGGGCCATGTTTGTTATAAGAAGGTCATTCAAGAATAGTCTTCTAGAGGCCACCCCAGATGAATTCATGATAGGGCACTTATTCGAGTCTCTGCCTTATAACCTTAACAGCATGCTTGAGGCCTCAAATGGAAAATTTCACTGAGAAATAGTTTGTGGTCACTCAAAAATATTGAGCCTAGTAAGATACAGTAAGGTTTATAGAGACATTTGAAGAAACACATAAACTAACTAATGGAATTATAGTAATGTGTCATCGTAACACAGGTCTTTATTCCATGAATTCAGATATATGCTTCTGAACACAATCACACATATGTCATACCACACCCCTGGTATTTATCCTTTCCCCAGGTACCAGGATAAGAAAAGGGTTCCACTGCATTTATTTCCCTTAAACTAGGACATAGATGCTATCATGGTTTCACACACACACACACACACACACACACACACACACACACACACGTATATATATTTCTATATACATACACACATGTACACGTATGTATACGTATACACATGTATGTATGTGTGTGCACACATATATGTACATGTGTGTATAAATAACCATGGTTTTATAGATGTTTGTGTTTGTCTATATATGTATATATGTATATATACATATATATGTATATGTGTATTTGTGTATATATGCACATACACACAGAGTGGAGCAACATGTGTAGCCATATAGAGATATAGCCTCAGGTCTGCAAGTTGAGTATTCACTGGAGGAGAAGGAAATTCTCTCTCTGATGAGTAGCACTCATGGCTACTCTTCTGGCCATCTTGCAGCCCAAGCTAGGGTGGAGGGAACAAGCCAACTGTCTAGCTCTAATCTCTCTCTCTTGATCCTTTCTCTACTTTGTAGGGAAGAGGTGACTGGCGACTGAGCAGGAGAAGCGGACAGAGAGAAGAATAACTAGAATTAGGGTTGGGGTTGGAGTCAATAAAAGGAAGACATCTTAGTGGGAAGCAACAAATGATATAAAAAGAGGAATGAGACAGGTCTTAGGAGTGGCAGCGGGGTCCTTGCTCTGACCCTCAGTTTTGAAAGTTGACCGACTCACCTCATTCCATAGTGCAATTTGCCTGTTGTTCCATCTGGACGTTCCAGTGGACAGCAGTTTTTTCATGTTTCCTAGAAACAGCACTTTGTTGGCTCTGTGAGACTTGTAGCTTGCTTCCTAGAAGAAGACACACAGTATATGAGCACCAGGACATGATTTGAGTGGATCAGTGATTCCCCTCCTCTCAGAAAAAGTGGTAGGATGGAGTAAGTTACAACTTTGTGGAATATGCTGGTAGAGGATTTCTGAAGACGATCTGAAGATCTTCTGTGTAATTGTTCTCTGAGAATTGTTTGAGGAAGCTTAAGGAGATTACAATCCACATGGAAATCCATGAACATGAAGGTGGAGAGCATCTGAGTGAGAATAAAACTAGAACTATTATAAACTCTCTGTCCTGAAATTTCTTAATACAGGTCATGAAACTGGCTTAGAGATGATGAATAGTAGAGATGGGAAATTAAGTTATTTTTATACTCAAGGTATTTTTAAGCTTTGAGTGTACACGGATTGTTCTTCAGGATACGTGGAATCCTAGAATGAGAGAAATCTCAACGTCAGATGAATCCAACCCCTATCTGAAATACCACAAAGTTGGGAGGCAGGTATCACTCCAACAATGATAGGATATCAGAATTCCAAATGGTTGAGAAGCTCTGCTAAATATCTTAAACTATGTGCAAAATATTGGCTTATATACATAAACAGGTTGCCCTAGATTTGTAAGGAAAAAAAATGGAAAATTGTAATAATGATTTATACTTTATGCTCCTGTGATTTAATTGTTGTGAGTATTCTATTAATCAGTGTAGACCATAACCCCTCTATCACATCCTAGATCCCATGTGAGGTCTTGGAGGGTCACTGAAAAATTCATCATCCTACACCCAAATTTATGGCTCTCTAAACTTTGCTAGGCAGTCTTCAAATGGTATATATGAGGCAATGTGGCCTGGTTATAAAGTACTAGAATCAGAGTTAGGAAGCCTTGGGTTTGAATCCTTTCCCAGACACTGACTAACTGTGTGACATTGGACAAATCATTTACCTTCTCTCATCCTCCATTTTCTCATCTATAAAATGGGGATAACAGTAGCCACAGGATTGAGGTAAAGGTAAATGAGATAATTTATATAAAGTACTTTTCAAAGCTTGAAGTGTAAATGTAAATAATTACACTTTTTAAAAACAAATTGATACAACAATAAATATGGCATTTTGGGAACTGAAGTTTCAGAATAGGGAAATTTTTTACTTCTTTCCCTAATTAGGCAAATCGCTTCTCTCTGGGCCTCAATTTCCCCCTTTGTAAAATGAGAGATTTAGAATATATGATTCCTAAGACTCCTATAGGTGTAAAGGTTTTTGATTCTACGTTAATAGATATGAGATATTTTTAGTATATGAAGTACTGTACAAATGAAAAATAAAGGTAAATTTGGCATTTTTAAATTATTGTCATCTAAATTTTGATATATATAGAATAATAGAATTGTGCAGCAAGAATGCTTTTGGAGTCCATTAAATTCATACCCTCCTCAAGACATTCTATTCAACTGGTCTTCCAGCTTTTTCTCAACACCTGAGTCTGCCCTTTTGGATAGCTCTAAAAGTTAGTATTTCCTTACATCAAATTGAAATGAGTCTCTTTGTAATTTCTATGCATCCCTGCTTTTTCTGCTCACCCTAGCCAAAAAGAACAAATCAGCTCCTCTTCTAAATGGTAGCTCTTCATATACTTGGAAGACAAAAAGCATGTATCCTACAAGTCTTCATTTCTGTGGGCTAAATATCCCTAAGTTCCTTGAACTGATCCTCGTACGGCATGGTTTTGAGTCACCTCACCATCTTGTTTCCACTCTTGTGGATGAGCTCCAAACATTCCATCAATGTCCATCTTAAAATATGGCATTTAGAACTGAGCTCAATGACCTCAGTTCATTAGCAGAATAAAACTCTGCTAATTTGTACTGTTGTTTGGTCATTTTTAACTCTTTGTTACCCCATTTAGGGTTTTCTTGGCAAAGATACTGGAATGATTTGCCATTTCCTTTTCCAGTTTATTTTATAGATGAGGAAACTGAGGCAAACAGGGTTAAGTGACTTGCCCAGGGTCACAGAGCTAGGAAATATCTGAGGCCAGATTTGAACTCAGGAAGAGGAGTCTTCCTGATTCCAGGTTCAATCCTCTATCCATTGTGCAACCTAACTATCCTGCTAATTTGTACTACTTTGGGGATAGGTGTGTATGGGGGAAATCGGTTTAAATGAATAAGACGTGTGAATTATAGACTTAAAAAGAGAAATGCAGTTTTAATTTTTAAGTACATGAAGCAATTACAATTAGACAGTTACAGAAAAATGAAAGAAAGTTCCTAACAGGGTCATTCACCTTGCAAATGGGAAAACCACGTACGATGTAGCATAAATAAAGATGAAAGTGGATGAGAGAAAAAATAAAAGAACTTTGGCTTGTTCCTGCTCTAATGAAACAAGTCTAGGGTCTCTGCTTTTGGATTTACGTGCTTCGAGGTATCATCTCATCATGTGATGGTCTCCTTGCAGAATAGATAGTATCTGTTTGGAGCATCAAAACCAACAAAGCCACCAAAAGGATGTATTTGAAAATGTCCTTAAGAGGAAGAGAGGCAGAACACACCCTGCAATGATGCCATTGTTCAGATAGTCCAGGTTCTGGTAGTAACATCAAGCTCAGTGGTGAGCTTTCATTTTGAAACAGAGATTGTGAAGCTGGTAAGCAAAGGACCAGAACCTAATCCCTGGCCCTAGTAAGAAATAAAACGCTTCCACTGAACTTCACATTCTAGTTTTTTAAAAGATCTTTTTAACTAGCAGAGAAGAATAATTTGCAATCAGTTTATCTCTTGTAATTCAATCATTTCAGTCACGCCCAACTCTTTGTGAACCCATTTGAGGTTTTTCTTGGAAAAGACACTGGAGCAGTTTGTTATTTCCTTCTTCAGCTCATTTTACAGATAAGGAAACTGAGACAAACAGGGTTAAGTGACTTGCCCAGGGTCACACAGCTAGTAAGTGTCTGAGGCCGGATTTGAACCTGGTTCTGTAGTCACTAAACCACCTGTCTCTATGTAACTAGAAAAGGGATTGGGACTAGACCTGTCCTTTCACTGGTATAGTGAACTCCCAAGTGACAAAATTCCCTTTACTAATGCAAATTGGTGCCTTCTTTGCAACTGATAGTCTTAGAGAGTTGCCTAGAGTGCTGAGAGGTTATATGATTTACCCAGGGTCACCTCTCCAGCATGTTTTAGAGGCAGGACTTAAATCCATTTCTTCTATATTCTAAAGCCACTCTATATCACTCTATCCACAAGACCACATCATCTCTCTATATGCAAATGAATGCTTGGAAACAGTTTGTTCTCAAGGCTAAGTTTTCCTTCTTACAATCTTGTTTACATTACTAATTTGTCTAGCAAACCTGTTTTTCAGAGAGAGCCCAAATGTAAATTTCAATCTAGCCTCAGACCAAATTATTGCATAAATCTATGATAAGAGACCAGACTAGATGGTCTGGTCTGAATTAATGTGACTTCATCATACTATAATGCCATTTGTTCTCTAACCAGCTCTGATGGGGGAAAAAACCAGTAAGACATTTATCTTATTGAAAAGCATAATGTTGCACACTGCACCTGTAAGACTGTTCCTGCGCGGGGGTCAAAAATCCTTATCTTTCTGTCCTTACAGGTGGTTGCTAGCAGGCTGCCATCTGTGTTGAATGACATGGAGAGGATCACATCTTGGTGAAAGTCAATTGTCTTCACTGGGTTCAGAATTACAGACTCTTTTGTGTCAAGGTTCCATATCATTAACTAGAGAACAGAGAAACGAAACTCTTAGCATCTTTCTCCCCCTCTCATTCACTTACCTGACAATAAGCACACACACAGGACATGACAGACATATTGTCAGTATTCAACAAGGTAGTGAAACACAGTAATTCCATGTGGAATAATCTGGAAATGGGCTGGGTAAGGTATTTGGTCCCATTGTTCTGAAGTAAACAGAAAATTCAGAGGGTGGAGTTGTGGAAGAAATAAAAAAAAATCATAGATCTTTTAGGAGGTCATCTGGTCTAACTCCCTCATTTTACAGATGAGGAAACTGAGGTCCAGAGAGGTTAAATAACTTGCCCAGGGTCATATAAATAGTAAAAAAGAGTTAGAATTAGAACATAAGTCCTATAAATCTAGAGGATTTTTTTATAGACATATTGAAACATCAGTGTAGCAAGATATGGCTCTGGAGAGATCCTTTTTACACATATACGTATATATTACATGTGTATATTTATATATATACATATAAATAATATATTTTACTTTCCTTTCTCTTTAGACTTCCCTCATATATCTTGCACTAATTCTGTACATTTGACATTTGGACACTTAAAAATTAATGATGCATGGGATAGAGGTCCCCAGGCAAAGAGAAGAGAGAGGGATTTTGCCCCAGTGGCATTTTCCTTCAAATTGACTAACCTTATAATCATAACCAGTGCTAAAGAGAATATTAGCAGCAGTTGGGTGCCATTCTAGGAGTCCAACTCTCCTCGCGTGACCAAGTAGCTCCTTCCTTGAGGCAGTGATGTTTCTTGATAGCAATTGCTTTGGAATATCCCATATCTTAATCTAGTAGGACAAAACAATACTATTTTATAAAAACTGAAAGCAAATCATTTGTGAGAAACACCTCATCATTCACAACCTTCCCCAACACTGGCAGGACAACTTGTGAATTATAGATCTAAGAGACTAGATGGGCATCAGGGCTCTCCACCAGCCCAGAGTTCAGGCAGGCCAGCTCTTGCACCCTTGAGGATGGCAAACCAGTATTCCCCACTGTGCAAGTTCTCATGCTCCATTCTCCTGCGCCCTCCTCCACTCCTGCTCCTCAATCTACCATAGTTCTGACAAAGCAGGCCAGGGGAGGGGAGTTCTCTTTTGGTCTGAAGCTGCCCTTAGAGGTCTCCTTCTGGGATTGCCCTTGTCTGAGTGGTCTCTAGAAGCCTAGTTATGAAGACCCTATGGAGGACTACATGAATACATTGAAAGAGGCTAAATAAATGCTTAAGTTAAAAAAATCATCAGGGTACCTCTTCAGGGTCTTTCTGCCTTAATCACAGAAATCAGGATTATTTTTCAGTTATTTCCATATTCTATTCTACACATTTCATAGATATCTATACTACTCTTTTGAGGTGGAAGCTGGTACAAATCAATTCAACAAGATTTTTTTGAATGCCTCGTAGGTGAAGAATGACCTCAGAGATAACATCTGGATCTAAAATGACAAAACACCTGCATCCAGAATGAATGAAAGCGCCATTTTATGTGGTGTAGATGCTTGCTCCCAGATCCAAATCCTTTTTCAGGGGAGAGAGAAGGGCAATCACTGCCACTAACATGGGACTGGATATAGATTTCTTTATCAATGAAGAAATGATTGCTTGGACAGCTAAGGGCCTGGTGTTTGAAAGAGGAAACTTAGCCCAACTCTGTGCCCCCAAAAAGCTCACTTGTCTTACATGTTGAGCTCTTTATTTCTAAGGGAATACTTCCCTGCAAAATCAGGCCCAGTGGGAATTCCATTAGTATATTCTAGGCCTCATCAAGGCTAAATGGGTCTGCAAATCATTTCAGGACATCCACTTAGAGCTATTTCCTGCCAGTAATTTTTGTGCACACTTCTGTTACTGAATTAGAATTGTACAGACAGAGTTGATGGCAGAATATACTCATTAGTGATTTGATAATAACATGAAGGATGAGCCAGGAAAGTCATCTTAAAATCAATTTAGGTAAGGAGAAGGGTAGTGAAATTTATTTTACTTCTACTAGAGATAGACAGGTTAAGAAGACCACAGATTAAGCAGATCAGGTCTTTGGGCTGGCCTTTAAAGGATAGGTAGGATGAGTAGGAAGGAGGACATTCGGATATAGAGGTTGGATAGCAGGTAATGGAATTTTTGTTGTTCTACACCTTATAAACTTTCAAATGCAGTAATTATGACTTTTGGAATGCTTTCCATATTTTTAACATTTTTTTCACTTTAAGGTACAGTTTTAACTTATTGGTCTAGTTAGTGATAGGAAGTGGACCTATGATTCATTGACATATGGAGTTCCCTGGGGAGGAACCTCCACCACCAGTGCAGATTGGTACCTTCTCTACGACTTATAGTTGCCTAGGGTATTAAAAAAATTATATGACATGTCCAGGGTCACACAGCCCATCTGTGTCAGAGATGGGACTTGAACCTAGGTCTTCTTAGCTTTGATGCCAGCTCTATCCACTATGCCATGCTACTCCCATCAACACAGCAAATTTCTAAAAATACCTCCATGGTCCGGGTCACTATTTAATCCCGTTTTCAGATGAACTTATTAAGAGGGCCAGAGACAGGCACAGAAACACTATGAAGTCCACCTTCTTCTTCCTCATTCCAACCACCTTCTCAGTGAATGATTTCTACTTACTTAAGATTGTCTTTGCTGATGTTTTCAGGATAGATGGAGCACTTAGGGATACAGGTATGACATTAAAGGTGGATTGGTTTTCATTTCCCACAGATGTGTTGGGAGAGTGGGATGCAGAAAGGTGAGAATTTACCGTGGCATCTTCAGAACAGGAGGCTATTACAAAATCATCAAAAGGGTTCCACTTGATGTCCAAAACGTTGCCTTTGTGGCCACAGATCTTTGGGTAATGTGGATCGAGCTTTCCTGTCTGCAAAATAAATGACAGATGAAATCTTTGTAAGTTAGGGTGTGTATAATCCACAAGTAAAAGAGAGTATCAGGGCAGCTATGTGGCGCAGTCAATAGAGAACCAGCCCTGGAGTCAGGAGGACCTGAGTTCACATCTGGCCCCAGACACTTGACACTTACTAGCTGTGTGACCCTGGGCAAGTCATTTAACCTGATTGCCTCAGGGTTAAAATAAAATAAAAATAAAAGAGAGTATCTCCATAGATCTTGTCACATAACTTCAGAGAATGGAGTTTCAACAGTATAGATGGGCCTGCTTTTGAAGTTAGATTGTTCATAGGCTTTTAGAACACTGAAAACATGCTTAGCTGGGACTCAGCAACCCAGAACCCTAGAGCTGTAAGGGACTGTATAGGTCATTCATTCAAAGCACAGGCATTACTAGGCAGCTAGGTGGCACAGAGAGTAAGAGTGTTGGATTTGGAGCCAGATGACCTGAGTTCAAATTCTGCCTTAGACATTAGCTGTGTGACTTGGGCAAGTTGTAACCTTTCTCAGCCTCAGTTTCCCCCTCTATAAAATGGGGTTGATAATAACATCTTCCTCACAGAGTAGTCATGTGTATTAAATGTGATAACATATATATGTCTAGATACATACATACTACATACATACATACATACATAGCACTTTGGCAAATTTAAGGCACCGTATAAATGCTAGCTTTGAATGCTCTTCTCAGGGAAACAGCAAATTTAGGTAAGACATGATCTTATGAAGCTTATAAATTGGCAGAGGGATAAGATACAAACAGATATAACAAGGGTTTATATTACAGAAGTATAAATAAACTACAAATAGTTTATATATTTAGTATATAGACATATATACTATTTATATATAATATACATATTACAGAGAGATAATTTATATTATAGAAGTATAAATAAATTATAAATAGTTTATATATTTAGTATACATAATATGTTATTTACACATAGTATACTTATTACAGAGAGTTTATATTACAGAATTATAAATTAACTATAGTTTATATATTTCATATATATATAAACTATTTACATATAGTATACATATTACAAAGAGAGAGAGTTTAGATTATAGAAATATAAATAGTTTATCTATTAGAAACGTATAAACAGATTGCCAGGTGAGGTTTGAAGGAGAAAGCCATTCCAGGTATGTGCCAGAGCCAGCTCCTACCAGACCATAAGAGCTCACTATTAAATTTTCAGAGTAAGCATTTACATCTCAGAAATGAGCAAACAGTACAAATTAGGGCTTTATATACTGTTTTGTTGATTGTCTAAACCTTAAAAAGTGATAGAGAAACTGTTAATAATCCGAGTTAAATTTAAAGGGTGCAGTTTTCTTCCCCCCTCTCCCCCAAACTCCCAGAGATCCAGATGTTAAACATTTAACCAGAATACCCCTGGTCATAACTGATAGGGAAATTCAGGGATAACTTCATGGAAGAGGTGGGTGTTGAACTGGACTATCAAGGATAGGTATGATGAGGAGGAAGGAGGGCATTTTGGATATTGAGAACTATGTAACCAAAGGCAGAGAGATGAAAGAGCACAGTGCATGTTTAGGATGAGGATGGGGATAGATATTTATCTACTTTGGTTGGAGTATGTGGAAGTGATATGAGATATGGCCAAAAAATTAGATCATCTAGTTTAACCCATAACCCATAACTGGGCAGGTATTCCCCTTCAAATGGGTGGTTCAAGCCACTGCATGAAGACCACCACAGATGGTGAACTCACTACCTCCTGAGGTAGTCTATTCCATATTTGGAAAGCCTTTATTGTTAGGAAGTTTTCCCCAATATGGAGTAGCTATCTACCTCCACATTTCTACTCATTGCTTCTTGTTTTGCCCATTGGAACCAAACAAGAAAAAAAAATTATTTCCTTCTCCATAGGACAATCCTTCAAATACTTGAAGACAGCTATCATGGAGGCTGTGAGTCTTTTATTCTCTTGGATAACCGTCTCAGTCAATTCAACCGATCTAAGCATGCCATGGTTTTGAGTCCCTTTCCCATCATTGTCACTTTCCTCTGGGAAGTCTCTAGCTTGTCAATCTCGCTAAAATATGGAAGCCAAAGCTGAACATGGAACCCCAGATATGGTCTGACTAGGGAAGAATACCATGGGATTATCACCTTCCTTGCTCTTTAATTCAACTGAATCTTTTTTTTCCTATGTTCAACTTTTATGAGTTAGAGGAAAATTACGACAAAACAAGCTGATAATAAGAGATCTATCCAAAGAAATTTTTGGTCAACACAGTCTATTCTACTGTCCCCATTTATATTACTTTTCAATGATTCCTGATCTTCATAATGATGACCCTGAGGCCCTACAACTCCCAGGATCATCAAAAATTCAATTATGGTTGCTCACTATTCTTGCTAAGGCAAGAAAGCAAACTCAAACATTTTAGAAAGAATTTTTAATGAGAAGAGTTGGAACCAAGAGGACTTCCTGGTTAACATTTGGTCATCAGAAAATTCAGCTAGCCAGAACACTGCATTCCCTAAGCCTTCTGGTTAATTAGGATTTTACCATATTTGTTTTAATAGCCATCTAAACCAGTTATTTCCTCACTGATTCAACTGTTACCTTTAAAGAGGAGGGTTTTCAGGGGCATTACTTACTTTTTCTCTTCATAAAAGTTTGCATAAGAAAAATAGCTACATTGAACCTGACAGAGCTCTTTCAGAAGCTGTTTTCTTATCTAGTAAGGAAGAAAAATGCCATTTATAATACTTCTCTCCACAAGGGGGCTGTGTTTACTGAACCCTACCAGTGCAGGGCATCTGTCTATTCTATTCAAAGCTTATAAACTATCTCTATCCAGTATAAAATGAAGTGATATTTTTACAATTACTCACTTAATTACATTAGTGTAGCTGTCCGGACAAGAGAATTAAGGCCCCTAAGAGGATTTTATTTTCTCAGCCTTGAATTATCCAGTGTGATTGTCTACACGGATGCAATTAATTGGAAAAATTGTTCTATTTGCACTTAAAATTTGGTCCTTGGTAAATGTAGTCTGAAGATTTTGATTTCCTGGCTAAAATAACAGCAGGATGGTGACTAATTTGGTCTCTGTCTATTAATGACCTGTTTGAAAATTTCATTCCTTCCCAAATGACCCAGCATTCTCAGAGTCCTTGAACAAGTGGTAAATATCATGAATTGTGGGTAATCGCGATAATAGCTGTTATTTACATAGCTCTTCAAGCTTTCCAAAGTGAACATATATTATCTCATTTGACCCTCCCATCAACTTTTTGAAGTAGGTGCTATTATCATCCCCACTTTACAGGTGAGTATACAGAGGTCCAGATGGGTTAAATGACTTGTTTATGATCACATTGCTTGCAAATATATAATTAATGGACAGAGTGCTCTACTTGGAGTCAGGAAGCCCTGAGTTTGAATCCTTCATCATAGACATCCTAGCTGTGTAACCCTTGAGAAGTCATTTAATCAATCTGAACCTTAGTTTCCTCACTTGTAAAATGGGGATAATAATGCCTTGTAGCATTTATCTCACATTGTTATTGTGAGGTTCAAATGAGAAAATGGATGCAAAATGCTTTGCAAACCCTAAACATTATGTAAATAATCAGCTATTATTAGAGTTACTTGATAGCAAACAGTATTATTCCTTTTTTGTGAATCAGGAAACAAACTGAAAACCCTAGAACCTGGGATTTAAGCATCTTGCTGAAAAATGAGCATCAGGTTAAAGTCTGTAAAAAGACTCTTACTTTTGTACTTAAATAAAGAGCCATAACCGGGACTAGGGGTGCAAAACTGAGGGGCATTTGAAGAAAACAACAACTTTATTATCCTAAGCAGCCATGCCATTGGGTTAGGGGGACACCATTTCACATTCTCACTTCAGGCACATTACCTAGTTATGGTGCTGCTTCTGTGATCTCCTTCCACTAGGGAGGGTTAGGGGAAGAAAAAAAGCTTTTATGAAGCACCTACTATGTTCCAGGTGGGCAGCTAGGTAGCACAGTGTATAGAGCACTAGGCTAGGAATCAGAGAGACTCTTCTCCTAAATTAAAATCTGGCCTCAGACACTTACTAGCTATGTGACCCTGAGCAAATCACTTAACCCTGTTTGTCTCAGTTTCCTCATCTGTAAAATGAGCTGGAGAAGGAAATGGCAAATCACTCCAGTATCTCCACCAAGAAAACTCCAAATGAGGTAATGGAGAGTCAGACATGACTGAAAACGACTGAACAATAACAACAATATGTTCCAGGTACTGTGCTAAGTACTTTTTGCAACAACCCTGTGAAGCAGGTGTTATCATTATCCCTGTTTTACAGTTGAGGAAACTGAGGCAAATAGGTTAAGTGACTTGCCCAGGGTTACACAGTTACTAAGTGTCTGATGCTGAATTTGAACTAAAGTCTTTCCAACTTCAGATCCAGCACTCAATCTACTAAGCCACCTAGCTGTCTCCATCACAAAGATTAAATAACTTGCCTAGAATCACACCCTGAGGCCATATTTGAACTCAGGTCATCTTTACTCCATTACTCCTGCTCTGTGCACTATGGTACCACTCAGTTGCCTCACTAGTACAGACTGCATCTCATCCATGACTTTTCTTACTGTGCGATTCTAGGTCATGTTTCAAGTATGATGTGATGGAAAGTGTGCTAGATTTGAAGACAAGCCTGGGTTTGAATTCCATGGGTGGTATGACCTAGTGGAAACCTATTTCTCCTCCAAAGGATGAAGATGTTGGACTAAATACTTCTAAGGTCTTTTAAAGTACAACTTCTCATACTTCCCATGTAGAAGACCTAACTAACGTAATAAAGACCTGACATTCTATAGGTACCAATGTACACTTGGGCTGCCTATTTGATGTTTCTGCCTCTTACTATACCACTTCCTTTTCCTGATCATTTATTTCCTTGGAATACAAATCATTTTGGGTAACATGTTATAGT